ACAAGATCACCGTGCCGGATAGGTACCCCATGCCAATGGCGGAAGAACTCTTCGACAAGCTGGCCGACGGAGTATACTTCACGACGCTGGACCTGCGCCAGGGATTCAATCAGATAAAAATCAGAGAGGAAGATGTGAAGAAGACAGCCTTCCACGGACCGGACGGGCTGTATGAGTGGTTATACATGCCCTTCGGCCTGCGGAATGCCTCGGCAGTGTTTCAGAGAGTTATGGATGCGGTGCTGCGGGGGATTGAACATGCAGCATGCTACATTGATGATGTGGTCATCTTCAGCCAGACAGAGCAGCAGCACCTTGAGGACGTGGAGCGGACCCTGAGTGCAATAGAGGAGGCAGGGCTCACCTGTCATCCCAACAAGTGCAGGTGGGGGGAGCGGACAGTGCAGTACCTGGGGTATGAAGTGACAGGAGGACAGATCGGGATTCAGCAAGCAAAGGTGCAGGTGCTGGACAGGCTGAGGGAACCCAGGGACAAGACAGGGCTGCGCGCAGTCTTGGGCTTCCTCAGCTACTACAGGCGCTTCGTGCCTAACTTCAGTAAGCGGGCGGCAGTGCTGAACGGGATGCTGCGAGAGGACAAGGTATGGGAGTGGGGAGAACAGCAGAGGGAAGCACTGCAAGACCTCATGACAGCCGTGAAGACAGCAACCGTGCTGCGGCTGCCAGCAGCAGACCAGCCCTTCGGGGGCAATCCTGTGCCAGGAAGTGGAGGGAGTGGAAAAAGTGGTAGCCTACGCCAGCAGGAGCTGCAACCCCGCAGAGGCGCAGTATAGCTCATACATAGGGGAGGGGCTGGCGGCCGTGTGGGCGGTGGGGCATTTCAGGGTGTACCTGCAGGGCCGCGAGTTCACACTGGTCACTGACCATCAGCCCCTCACTTGGCTGATGACCACACCAGGGCTGACGGGAAGAAACGCAAGGTGGGCAGTGAAGCTGCAAGAATATGATTTCCAGATCAGGCATAGGCCGGGGAAGACGCTGCAGCACGTCGACGGTCTCTCTCGCAACCCACCACCGCTGGAATCAGGACAGAGAACACAGGGGACGGAAGGGACGGAGCTGGAGCCAGCACACACCTTGATCATGCTGGCGAGAGAAGCGGAAGAGGTCGGAGCCAAGGGGAGCAAGGGACCAGCCGACATCTGGCAGGACGAGAAGGCAATGCGGTGGGTGAAAGGAGAAACAGAGGAAGACGAGACAGTGTCAGAAAGAGTGCGGGCACGGGGGCACCACTACAGGTGGTATCAGCGGCAGCTGCAGATCAAGACAGAGGACGGGTGGAAGCTAGTGCCTGCACCCACGGACCGTGAAGCAGTGATCAAGGAGGTGCACACGAAGCTGGGACACTTCGGGCACGAGAGGACTGTACACCTGCTGAAGACAGGCTGGTGGTGGGAAGGGATGCGCAAGCAAGTGAAAGAGTGGGTGGAGGGGTGTGAGGCGTGTCAGAGGAGCAAGGCAAACTTAACGCAGGCCAAAGCAGAACTGCATTCACTGCCGATTTGCGGGTTGGGATTCCGATGGTCCTTGGACCTCGCGGGAGAGCTGCCGCTCAGCAGGAGCGGAAATCGGTACATCGTGTTCATGGTGGAGCATGCGAGCAAGTGGTTGGAGGTGAAAGCCATCCCCAGCAAGAGCGCGAGGCACATAGCAGCAGCCTTCAAGGCGCAGGTGGTGTGTCGCTTTGGAGCGTGCGGGGAGGTACTCACGGATCAGGGGACGGAGTTTCTGGGGGAATTTGAGAAGCTGCTGAAGGAATCCGGCATAGCGCACAGAAAAACCTCCCGCTACCACCCACAAAGCGACGGGCTGACCGAGCGAGCGGTGCAGACCTTCAAGCGGGGGCTGCGGGCCTATGGGGAGCAGAGGAAGAGGGACTGGGATGAGGAGCTGGATTGGATAGCCGCAGGGTACAGGTTCGGGAAGCAGGCAGCACTCAAGGACCACTCCCCGTACAGCCTCCTTTACGGAAGAGAGCCAATCCTGCCAGTGGAGGCACCACGGGTACTGACAGACACGGTGACAGCAGGCACGATCAAGAACTGGGTGGCCCTGTCCGAGGTGAGAGCGCGCTACATGCGCTACATGCTGCCAGCGGCACTGGAGAACCTGCACACTGCACAGCTGAGGGACGCAAGGAGGTACGAACAGAGGCAGCGCAAGGGAGAGGGGCGAGTGGCAAGAGGCGTCTGTGAAGGGCAGGAGGTGTACCTCAAGAGGGCAAAGCAAGACACCCTGGATGTGGGGCTGGGTACGGTCCGCTGGAAGGTCAAGGAGGTGCGCCCTTCAGGGGTGCTGGTCCTGGAGAATGACACGGGGGCGCAAGTGAAGGAGCATCAAACGAACACTGCCGTGATCAGAGGCAGCGGGCCTCAGCGCAACGGTCCTGTGACCCGCGCTCAAGCTGCGCGAGCACGGGCACAGGAGGGGGCAGAGAGTGGCTGAGGCAGCAGAAGGAACGAAGGAGAGGCAGAGCAGGAGAATCAAGGCAGAGAAGAGCATAGCGGTAACTCCGACAGCTGTCACCGAATATGTACGTTTGTGCATATAAGGTGCCAGTATGATTGTGGTGTAGAAAGGGTGTAGTAATGTGTTGTATTTGTTGTATGCAGGCTCAAGGATGGGTAGGTGGGAGGCTGGGAAATTGACGCGAAGTTGGTAGGAGAACACCAGGGGGTGAAATCCTCGCGACCAATGGGAACAAACCCAACCCAGGCTCAAGCCGCACATTGAGAAATGCACGGCTCGAGCCAGGGACAGGTAAGTTCACTCTCACACACACACACAATGCTTTCTGTTTGTTATCCTTTCGTATAGTGGACAGTTGTTACCTCAGATTTGCCTACAGGTGGCACACCACTCAGAGAGGACCTTTGAGGTGAGAGTTACCACTCTTTCATGAGAGTGGCTGAGGCAGCAGAAGGAACGAAGGAGAGGCAGAGCAGGAGAATCAAGGCAGAGAAGAGCATAGCGGTAACTCCGACACGTGGCTGAGAGTCGTGTTCGAGAGATCACCAAAACAGCCCGGTTTCTGCTTGTCCACGCCTCTTGCCCCCCTTCTCTTTGGGGCTACGCCCTCCTTCATGCCGCCCTCCTTACTAACCTTTACCCTCACCCCCTTCTCCCCTCCATCACCCCCACTGAGCTGTGGACGAAGGACAAGCCTGATGGCTCATCACTTCGTGTCTGGGGCTCTAAGGCACATGTCCTCATTCACCCCTCTGACCGCTCCCGTTCCATGGGAAAGCTTGCCCCTCGTACCCTTCCCTGCATCTTCCTTGGTCATAATCCCTCCTCCCCTGACTACCTTTTCCTCCACCCACCATCCGGTCGTCTAATCCGCAGCCGGGATGTGGTCTTTGACGAGTCCACTCCCTACTACTCCTCTCCCACATCTACTGACCCACTCCCCCCTCTCACCCGTCCCCTTGTCTGGTCTGGCACCACCCCTCCCTAAGCATGGGCATTTGACCCGGACGGGTCGGGTAACCCGACCCGACCCGCCCTAAAGGGCGGGTCGGGTCAGGAATGCTGAGAAGGCCGACCCGCCCGGGTCGGGTCGGGAAAACCCGGACGGGTCGGGTCGACCCGTGACCCGTCACAATGATTTAGTGACGGGTTTTTGCGACCCGCCGGGTCGGGTTGACCCGACCCGTCCGGGTCGCGTACCCAGTCAAATGACAGGGTTACCCGACCCGTTTTCGGATAAGGGTAGTGGTTGAACATCGGTTGATTTGTTTTTTAGGTTTTGTTTCCCTCGACATTCTGATCTAGTCTAGCAACTAGATCAAGGCTAGTACTTCTGCGCTGCAGCTAGAGAGCCTCATACAGTTTTCACTCTTCAATGTTAGCACTATGGCGTGTTGCATATTATCTTCAGGTAAGGGTTTGGCGCTCCCGCCATTTCGCAGCGTCGCACGACCAGGGGCGCAGCAGCGCGCGGGCGGCCACGCATTGGCGGGATCGCGTCCCCGCAATAGCGCGATCTCGGCCCCGCGTTTGCTTAGCGCGATCACGGCCCCGCATTGGCGCGATCGCCGCCCCTCATATGCGCGATCGCGGCACCGCATTAGGACAGGGCGATCGCGGCCAGGTTCAGCACCGCGATCAGGCAGCGGCCACGTTCAGCACCGCGATCAGGCAGCGGCCACGTTCAGCACCGCATTAGGACAGGGCGATCGCGGCCACGTTCAGCACCGCGATCGTCGCTCTCATTCTCTGCATTCACGTGCCTCCTCAGCATCTTCCCGACTGCCTCCATCTCTTCCTGTCAACTTACATTCCTTTCTGTAGAATCCAGCCATTCACTGCTGGGACGTGCGGAACACATCAGGAGTTGTCTACAGGTGTGTCATTGCGTTTCATGCAGGAAATGTTCCATGCATGCCCATGATTATCGGCTCTGCTGCAGGGGAATCGCAACACATGCGGCACGCTTTTGAGCACCTCAGAAGGCGCTTCGAAAGGCGTGTGTCTACCTGCAGTTTAGGAGAATGACATTCAAAAGCGTACCCCATGTGCACATGCTATGTGCTCTCTGCGGCCCCTTAAAAGCTACATCCAGCCATGTCATCCCATGCCATGCCATGCCATGCCATCGCATCCCACCCCATCCCATCCCTTGCCATCCCATCCCATCCCATCCCATCCCATCCCACTCCACCCCATGTCACCCCATGGCCGCATGCCTCAGTGTGTTTCGTCCACCAACCAGCGCATGTCCGAGCCATTCATGCCATGCCATCCCATGTCACCCCTTGTCATCCCGGTTCATCCCTTGTCACCCCTTGTCATCCCGTATCACCCCATGGCACCCATGGCAGTATGCAGCGGTGTGTGACATCCACCAATCAGCGCATTGCATTTGACATTGACCCCTCCAACTGCCATCTCGCCACCTTCATCAGCGCGAAGGCGCCACCTTCAGCAGCGCGAAGGCGCCACCTTCAGCAGCGCGAAGGCGCTACATTGAACGGAATATGAACGGGGAGTCTAACCAGGGAGGCGGAGATGGGAATGAAGAAGGACGAGCTCTGCCAGGTGCTAGTTTTAATCGACTTCCAACACCTGCAGCACGAACCAGCTTTATGCTGGGTAGTGCTCTACAGCACCCTGTTGAGACCGATGGCGGAGATGCAGGGGTTGAGGAACAGGATTCCTACTGGCCTAGCAGTCCTCATCCAGAGTGGCAGGGTGGTGGGCAGACCTGTGTTGAAACAGGCGATGATGATGAGTATAGGCCTACTGTAGCGGAGGTCGAGGCGGCGGCGGCAGAGGACTCTGCAGCGGGGGCGGGAGGGGACGCGGATGTGGAGGAGGAGGTGCAAGAGCAGGAGGGGGAGGGTGCTGGCCGCAATGCCAGGGAGCTGCATGGAGGGGATAATGGACGGGGAGGAAGGGGTCGAGGGGGTCGTGGGGGGGGACGGGTTGGTCGTGGGCAGGGTCGGTCTTCTGCGCGTGCGCAGGCCGTAGGCAATGCAGGGGGGCACAGTGGGGGGCATGCTAGCGGCCCCCCAGTAGATGGACGAGGTGGGGGGAGGGTTGGGAGGGTTGCGCATAGTGCTGCAAGGGCTGGGCGCGGTGGCAGTGGTGGTGGGAGAGCGGCCGAGGCTGCGCCCGATCCAGGGCCAGGCAATGCACCCACTCAACGGTCCGATGGTGTTGGGTCTACGCCGTTGCGTGCTGGTGGCATCAGTCGGGGTGGTGGGACAGCGGGGAGTCGTGGGCGTGCGTCAAAGCGTCAACGAAGGGAGGATTTGCCTAAGGATTCGGTGGTTGAGGGTTTGGCAGGGAAGCACTACCCTGGTTTACTTGTGGGAATGTTTGGTGAGCTTGAGGATGGTTGTCGTCCGTGTCGGGTGTGTGGGGACGTAATGGGATGGGATGGGGGTAGCACGGGGACTGGGTGGAAGCATGTCAAGCGCGCGCACTACCCTAATGTGCAGATTTGGGTGCGGCGGTTCCTGGACCCGGCGAAGCCAAAGGACCTAGAGTTTCCTTGGGGCGGCTATGGCGTGTCGGGCGATGGGCCACCAGTGCCCAACCCGCACGGTGGTGCATGGGAGCACGCGGCTGCCTGGCCGAACATCCCAGCTGCTGCAGCCGCGGCGGGCAGTGGCGCAGGGGGGGGGGGGAGTGGGAGTCGTAGTGGTGTTGGCATGCACGCGTTCATGAGTCCAAGGGTGTCGCTGGACGAGTTACGCAGTGCTCTCGTAGAGTTGTTTGCTGATGCGGATCTTCCGTTTCGTCTTGTCGACCGAGCTTCGGTGAGTCAAACAACAACTACTCTACCCTCTATTCCTGCACCGGGAGTCTCAAATCCTGTCTGAACATCTCAGTTGGGTTGGGATGCCTTGGTACACAGCTGGGACAATGCTTTGTGTGTGTTTGCTTCTTTGTCCCTGCCCGACCTCACCAGTTCCGTCGATTTGTCGCCTTGCTGAATCCATCGGCCAAGGATTTGCTGGGGTCACGTTACCGTTTGGCACGGGACATGCAAGCATTCAGTGAGGTGGCTCGAGAGGAGCTGAGGCAGGAGATCGTTGGCGACGGTCTCGCGGGGAGGGTGTCCCTTAGCACGGACATCTGGACCAGTGAGAACCATACAGCTTTCATGTGTGTGACCGTCCACTGGATCACCAGTGAGTTCAGGCTACGTTCGGGGATTTTGGATTTCGTGCAGTTGGAGGGTTCGCACACAGGGTCTCTCATAGCAGAGACCCTCGAGCGCATCTTGACCGAGGCTGGCCTGCAGGATGTAGTGTTTGCTGTGACGACGGACAATGCGGAGAACAACAACAAGGCGATGCGCCTTCTGTCGGGGGACCCAGCAGAGGGGCCAGGGGCGTGGACAGCTAATCCACTGCTCGACATTGGGCGTCACGTTCGGTATGTCCTGTCATGCATCAATTCAAATGTGGCACTTTGGCAGCATACTGTAGTAGTAAATTTATCACGAGGTCGGGCCTCTAATTGAGCTAAATCTGTTTCCTTCCCTTATGCCCTTTCCGTACACAGCTGTCTTGCACATGTCATGAACATTGCAGTGCAGGAGGCATTAAAGTTGGATGATGTGAAGGAGGCGTTGAAACGCATACGGGATGCGTGTTCATACATTGGATGGTCGGTCCAGCGGTCAGAGGCTTTTGCCAGTCTGCAGCGCAGGTTGGCAGACAGAGACAAAGCGAAGGTGCTACGTCTGATCTCCGACTCGCCTACACGTTGGGGCTCCACTTACGAGATGATCTGCCGCGCCTTGGAGCTGCAGCAGGCACTGACGGTGTTTTTCAGCCGGACTGACGTGAGTGATAGGCTCCGGTAGTGTGTATATGTTGGGTGATGGTGAGTATACGGGGCTGGTGTGGCGCACCAAGGGTTGTGACTATATTGAATGGTGAGTTTGGGTAGCTGGTCGGGGGCTAGAGGAGTTGTGACTGTATCGAATAGTGAGTGTGGGAGAATGGTGTGGCGCCCAAGGGTCGTGAGTATGGGCAGGATTTGAAAGGGGGTTGAGTTGTCTACCTTCATCACCATCGTATACTAAGTTTGTGAACCCTCTGTACCACCCTTGTTGTTGTCCTATACCAGCCCCCCCCCCCCCCTAGGCTACGCGAGAAGCTCGACAAAATACGTCTCAGTGACGTCCACTGGGACGCGCTTGTCGAGCTGAAGAACTTTCTTCAGCCCTTCCACTCGATCACCAAGGTAGCTGAGGCTTCCTTGTACCCGACAGCTGCAGCGGTGGTGCCGCTGTACAACCAACTGCTGGACAAGATGGAAATCACCTACCGCGAGCCAGCCGTCTCACCCCTCACACAGGCCCTCATCACCAAAGCCCTCGGCAAGCTGAAGAAGTACCCGTACGGCACCAAGGAAGAGTTGGCGATCGCCACCTTCCTTGACCCCCGCTACAAGACAATCTTCTTCCAGATGCCCCAGTGGGAGGCGCTCAATGCAGCGCAAGTGACAGAGGTGGGGGGATGTGCTAGGAGTGTGCAGGGCGTGGATGAGCCGACGGTGATGCGCCTGGTGCGCGATCGTTTGGTCGCATATCAGGAGAGAGTGCGCAGTCGGGGAGGTGGTGGTGAGGTTACGAGTGGCATGGGGGAGGTCACTGACGGCGCTGGTGTTAGTGTTCAGGCCGCAGGGACGTCGCGTGCCGCTGGCAGCGGGGGGGTTAGCTTCGAAAATGCGCTTTTTGCACAGATGGATGCATTTGAGGCAGCAAGGGGGGGGCGGAGAAGTGACGAGGTGGACATATACTTGGCTGAGGGTAGACAGAAGGGTTGCGCGCTAGCGTACTGGCGTGATAGGAAGGATTTAGAGGGTTTGAGGGAAATGGCTCGGGACTATCTGGCAGTGCCAGCCACATCTGCAGCGAGCGAGCGCGCTTTTAGCCAGGGCAGGAACGTAGTGACATGGCAGCGTCACCGCTTGAGCGCCCCTCGTGTTAGCGCCCTCATGGCTATCAAGTCATGGATGGCGCAGAACACGAGCGGCAGGTCATTGAACGTGGCAGGGGCTGCGCGTTCGCTTGTGGAGTTGTGCTATGAGGCCGAGGACGATGGGTTTTGAGTAATGTTTGCTGCGGGAGTGGTCGCTATAGGCCTTAGGCCATTTGCCTTTACCCTTTTGGAGATACAGTAGATTTTATTTATTACCATGCTTGATTGACAGTCACTTCACAAACAGGGTTGTTGGTCTATTGACATACGCTTTAGACATTTGTTTTAAGGGAAAAAACTTCTGCATTTCATGTTTGGATGCCCTGGAATTCATGCATCTTGGGCTAATGTAAGGTACGTATAAACTTAAGAATATAATTGTAACATGTAGTTTACAATGTTGCAATTCAGACCTAACCCCCATACTCTGCTGCTATGTAGCATATTTTGATCCGACCCGACCCGACCCGTGGTGTAACCGACCCGGTAACGGGTCACAAATACCCGTTCCCACGGGGCGGGTCGGGTCACCAAAACAAAGTCAAACCCGACCCGCTACCCCGACCCGACCCGACCCGTTAAGCTAACGGGTCGCCCTCAACGGGACGGGTCGGGCCGGGTCGGGTCAAATGCCCATGCTTACCCCTCCCCCACTACTCCCTCCTCCCCCCATCCTCCCACCCCCCCCTTCTCCGCCGTCCCAGTCCCATGGTGCCCCTCCCTCTTCTGGTGACATCTTTGACCCGGAACCTCTGTCTTCTCCTGTCTCCCCCGCTCACTCCTCTCCTAGTACCCCTCCCCCCCCCCCCTTCCTCTCCCTCGCCACCAACCCGTCCTCCCCCTTCCCGCACCATACTCACCCGGTATCCCCACACCAGGTCATGTGACGGTATCCTTGGTGCACCGCCTCCCGTTACCCTCTCTACCTCTACCCTCCCCCCTCTCTCCCCCCTCCTCCGTCACTTCTTCCAGGCTGTCTTGCATCAAGCCCCTCATGCAACAGCCCCCTCAGCCACCTCCTCTCCACCAGCGGCACCAGCAGTGGGACCAGCAGCGGCACCAGCAGCAGCGCCAGCAGCCGCAGCAGCAGCAGGACCAGCAGCGGCAGCAGCAGCGGGAGCGGCATCGGCAGCAGCAGCGGGACCAGCAGCGGCACCAGCAGCGGCACCAGCAGCAGCACCAGCAACAGTACCAGCAACAGAACCAGCAGCGGCACTAGCAACGGCACCAGCAGCGGCACCAGCAGCGGCACCAGCAGCGGCACCAGCAGCAGTACCAGCACCGACACCGGCAACGCCTCCACCAACAGCACCAGCAGCGGCACCAGCAGTCATCCGCGCCTTCCACACCTCCCTCTCTGAGGACTCCCATGAAGAGTTCCTTGACCTCCACCTTTATGACCCCTCGCTTCTACCCATCACGTTCGACCTCTTTGGCACACCTGTCTTCGCCTTCTCCTCTGCTCCCTCCATTTTCGTTCCTACCATGTACGAGGAGGCAATGGCGTGCCCTGACGCTCCGCTATGGCTCGCCGCCATCATCAAGGAGCTGGAGGCCTTTATCGGCAACTCCTCTTTTGTCGATGTGCCTCGCCCTCCCGCCCCTACGAACGTGGTGAAAGGAAAGTGGGTGTTTCGCGTCAAGCAGCTGCCAGGGGAGCCGCCCGTTTATAAGGCTCGTTACTGCGCCAAGAGGTTCACGCAGCGGTATGGTTTTGACTTCTTCGATACCTTCTCCCCTACTGCCAAGCCTGCTACTGTTCGCGCCGTGCTCGACCTCGCCGCTCGCCTCAATATGGAGATCCACTCGATGGACGTTTCTAACGCCTTCCTACAAGGCGTCCTCCGCGAGCTTATCTACATGGAGCGTCCAGCCGGCTTTCACCTCCCCTTCCCAGCAGACTCTGTCTGGCAGCTGCGTCGACCGGTGTATGGGCTCCGACAGGCCCCGAGGGAGTGGCATGCTAGACTTGCCGCCACCCTTGCTGAACTTGGGTTCCGCACCTCCCACTCTGACGCCAGCCTCTTCCTCCGCACCTCCCCCTCCCCATTTTACATCCTTGTGTATGTCGATGACATGATTCTGCTCACTGCCGACCTTGGAGAGTTGGAGCATGTTAAGGCTGAGTTGGGCACCCGTCTCAAGTGCAAAGACTTGGGAGAGCTGCAGCATTATCTGGGCATGACCATCACTCGTGACCGCTCCGCCCGCACCATCTCACTCTCCCAGGGTCATTACTTGCAGCAGGTCTTGGAGCGGTTTGACATGGCCCGCGGCGGCGCCCAACATACACCTCTTTCTGTCGGGCACCACCTCTCTCCACCCACCTCCCCCTCAGCCTCCTCCCATCCTTATCCCGAGCTCATCGGCTCCCTCATGTACGCCATGGTCTCCACTTGCCCTGACCTTGCCTACCCCATCAGCGTCCTCGCTCGTTTTGTTGGCGCAGGCAAGCATACGGAAGAGCACTGGCAGGCCGCCAAGCGTGTCCTCCGGTACCTTCGTGGCACCAAGGACTATGTCCTTACCCTTGGCGGCCCCTCCCCACCTTTTCTCAGCGGCTACAGTGACTCCTCCTGGGCTGATTCCCGGCCAGATCGTCGCTCCTCCCAGGGCTATGGCTTCTCTCTTGGCAGCGGCCTTATCAGCTGGCGCTCCACCCGCTCCTCGGCTGCAGCCCTCTCCTCCTGCGAGGCGGAATTGTATGCCGCCACCATGGCTGCGCAAGAGGCCCGCTGGCTCACCTTCCTTCTTGAGGAACTTGGTGCCCCCGAGCGCTGTCCCACAATTTGGTGTGACAATGCTAGTACCATTCACCTCACCAAAGATGCTGTGTTTCACGGGCGCTCCAAGCACATTGAGCTCCGTCATTTCTTCATTCGCGATCTTGTTCAGGCGGGGCACCTTCGCCTCGACAAGGTTGACTCGGCGGCCAACCTTGCCAACATCTTCACAAAAGCTCTTCCTCATGCCGCTCACTCTTTCCTACTTCGTCTTCTTGGCCTCACTCCTCCTAAGTCGCCTCCCGCCTCTTGATTTTAGCCTTCTAGCCTTATGCATGTTGGGGGGTTGTGTTGTAATTTCATATCTCATACAACTAGGCACGGGCATCTGGCCCGACCCGGCCCGACCCGTCCCGTTTAGGGCGACCCGTTAGCTTAACGGGTCGGGTCGGGTCGGGTTAGCGGGTCGGGTTTGACTCTGTTTTGGTGACCCGACCCGCCCCGTTGGAACGGGTATTTGTGACCCGTAACCGGGTCGGTTACACCACGAGTCGGGTCGGGTCGGATCAAAACATGCTACATAGCAGCAGGGTATGGTGGCGCCTTGGCGCTGCTCCAGGTGGCGTTCGCGATGCTGGAGGTGGAGACCGCGATTCTGGCTGGTGGCGTTCGCGCTACTGCAAGGCCGCTATCGCGCTATTGCGAGGATGCGATCCCGCCAATGCGTGGCCGCGATCGCGCTGCCCTAATGTGGTGCCGCGATCGCGCATATGCGGGGCCGCGATCGCGCTGCGCAAATGCGGGGCCGAGATCGCGCTATTGCGGGGACACGATCCTGCCAATGCGTGGCCGCGATCCCGCCAATGCGTGGTCGCGATCCCGCCAATGCGTGGCCGCGATCCCGCCAATGCGTGGCCGCGAGTGGGCTGCTGCGCCCCTGGTCGTGCGACACTGCGTAATGGCAGGAGCGCCTATGCCTATAATGAATATAAATATTAAAATAGTGCTAACATTGAAGTGAAGACTGTAAGAGTTTTGGTAGGTGCAGTGGAGATTTACTAACTTGATTAGAGACTGGATCTGAATGTCGAGGGAAACAAAACATCAAAACCAACTGATGTTCTCCCCCTCTCCAAATTGTACCCTGAGCAGAGAACGGGTCGGGTAACCCTGTCATTTGACTGGGTATGCGACCCGGACGGGACGGGTCAACCCGACCCGGCGGGTCGCTGATACCCGTCTATAAGTCACATTGACGGGTCACGGGTCGACCCGACCCGCCCGGGTAAACCCGACCCGACCCGGACGGGTCGACATTCTCAGCATTCCTGACCCGACCCGCCATTTTAGGCGGGTCGGGTCGGGTAACCCGACCCGTCCGGGCCAAATGCCCATCCCTACATACAACATACATAGGCTAGAAGTGTAGCACATTTATAAATTGGGGGGTTGCTTAGTGTACCCTCCAACCACATTTTGTGGTTGGTTGGGATTGGTCCTTAGCTCAACCAATCCCAACCAACACACATTTGTGGTTGCTTGGGTCACAATCAAGCTCACCCATTGGCCAACTTATTGGCCAATAGGGTAAGCTTCCCTCTCATCTCTCTCTTGCTCATTGTTTGTACTAAAGAGCCTCTTGGCTCATTATTCAATGTATCAATTCTCTCTCTTCAAACATCCCGAACCTGTACCATGCTTTTGAGTCGACTCAAAAGCATGCCTGCTTCCCGAACCTGTACCATGCTTTTGAGTCGACTCAAAAGCATGCCTGCTTCCCGAACCTGTACCATGCTTTTCAGTCGACTCAAAAGCATGCCTGCTTCCCGAACCTGTACCATGCTTTTGAGTCGACTCAAAAGCATGCCTGCTTCCCGAACCTGTACCATGCTTTTGAGTCGACTCAAAAGCATGCCTGCTTCCCGAACCTGTACCATGCTTTTGAGTCGACTCAAAAGCATGCCTGCTTCCCGAACCTGTACCATGCTTTTCAGTCGACTCAAAAGCATGCCTGCTTCCCGAACCTGTACCATGCTTTTCAGTCGACTCAAAAGCATGCCTGCTTCCCGAACCTGTACCATGCTTTTGAGTCGACTCAAAAGCATGCCTGCTTCCCGAACCTGTACCATGCTTTTGAGTCGACTCAAAAGCATGCCTGCTTCCCGAACCTGTACCATGCTTTTGAGTCGACTCAAAAGCATGCCTGCTTCCCGAACCTGTACCATGCTTTTGAGTCGACTCAAAAGCATGCCTGCTTCCCGAACCTGTACCATGCTTTTGAGTCGACTCAAAAGCATGCCTGCTTCCCGAATCTGTACCATGCTTTTGAGTCGACTCAAAAGCATGCCTGCTTCCCGAACCTGTACCATGCTTTTCAGTCGACTCAAAAGCATGCCTGCTTCCCGAACCTGTACCATGCTTTTCAGTCGACTCAAAAGCATGCCTGCTTCCCGAACCTGTACCATGCTTTTGAGTCGACTCAAAAGCATGCCTGCTTCCCGAACCTGTACCATGCTTTTGAGTCGACTCAAAAGCATGCCTGCTTCCCGAACCTGTACCATGCTTTTGAGTCGACTCAAAAGCATGCCTGCTTCCCGAACCTATACCATGCTTTTGAGTCGACTCAAAAGCATGCCTGCTTCCCGAACCTGTACCATGCTTTTGAGTCGACTCAAAAGCATGCCTGCTTCCCGAACCTGTACCATGCTTTTGAGTCGACTCAAAAGCATGCCTGCTTCCCGAACCTGTACCCTGCCGCCACCCAGTCTAGCTCTTCATCCCAGTCTCTCTTCCGCTTCTCTCTGTACGCCCTCAGGTTCCGCTTCAAGGTCTGCACCAGTCGCTCAGTCAGCCCATCGCTCTGAGGAAGGTACCTTGATGTCTGCCTGTGTGTCACCCTTGCCTCGTCCAGCAGTGCCTGGAATCCCCCCTTGAACTCCGTGCCCTGATCAGTGAGTACTTCCCCTGGTATTCCTCCTTCCTCCCTGAACCCTGCTGCCTCCTAATACCCCACCAATGTCGGCCAGGCCCTGCACACTGCTCCCACCTTGTTGCATGGGCACTGTGTCTCGTGCCTGCCCTTCTTTACCGGTGCCGCTGTCCTGCCTGGCTCTAATATCTCTTACACCGTTCTACTCCAGTCCCTTCGTATCCCATCCAGCTCCTTCTGCAATTGCTCGCCCGTCACGACATTTTGCCAGTACCTTCTGACACGGTGAGCCCCTGCCCCCAGCCTGGCCACGTCACACCTCACCCCCTTCCCCAGCTTCCTTGTCACTAACTCTCTGATTTTTCCGACTGGTTCCTGGCAGTCCCCTCCAGGTCCAGGTGCTCCAGTAGGTACACCACCTTCTCCTGTGACCTGTCTTTCTTTGATCCAGTCAATGATGCACAGCAGATTGATTAGCAGTGCTCCCCTTGGATCTTCCAACCCCTTTCCCTTCCCTGCTCTTGAGACGGCTTGGCACTCCCACCCCGCTACCAGCAGATCCACGTGCCCCCAGCCCCTCACCACTTCTCGTGTTACGTTCCTCACATCAGTGAACGTCCCTGCCATTGCTTTGCTTATCACTGTTTCCTCCAGTAGTTCAGGATACTCTTTCTGCAGCCTCCTTGCATGCTGTTCGGCCATCTTTCTTACTTGTCCGTCTTTCTCCACAAATATCCACTCCCTCACCGCTACTCCCGCTCTGAGCACCGCTGCCAGCCCTGCTCCTATTCCCCCGATCAGCTCCACCAGCCTGATTGGTTCCTGCCATGCATTGGCTACAGCTGCTTCACCCACTAGGCCCGCTCTCCCTCTCCCCGCGCTTCCCGCTTGCTCGGCCGTGTACGCTCTTTTTGGCTCCTGTTTAGTGAATTGCACAGGCAGCTCACCCGTCTTGCTCCCCCGCACCCAATACTGCTTCCGAAACTTCAGTTTCTCCTTCCATGTGCAGATGGTCATCTCCACGCCCCAAATCAGGTCTGTCCCCAACAGCACGTCGAAGTCTTTTGAGTCTGATATCCCGCATTGTAGCCGTATACGAGTCTGCTCCTCTCTTCCCGGCATTAGGACTATCTCCACTAGGTCCCTTGTACACGGCAGCCACTTGGGCTCGCCTCCCTCCGCGGTCATTACCTACATTCCTTGCTTTATGTATTGCCCTGCTTCAGTCAGCCCCAGCTTCCGTGCCAGCCTCTTCCCCAGCATCACGCTCTGCGCTCCCGTGTCCAAGATTGCTGTCTTTGCTATCTCTCCGCCCACTGCCACTGTTCCTGCTTCTGCCACCAGCACGGTTGCCTGGCTAGCTAGCCGATCCTTGGGATGCCTTGCTGGCTCTTCTCCTTCCTCACCCTTCTCCTCTGGCCTTTGTTTCGGTCTGCCCCTTTCCTTGGTCATGTGGTCCTTTCTCCCATCCCTGCCCCCGCTGCACAGGCCCAGCTCTTCTCTGCTGCGGAGCACCATGAAATTATACTCCGGCTCTGGTTCCTCAATTACCTCTGCCTCGTCATCGTCTTCCCTGGCATTTAACCCTACCTCCTTCTCCTTTTCCCACCCATTGCCTGCAGCTGCGCCTGTAGCCTACCTATCTGGCCCTCTATGTCCTCTAGAGTCCTCCTTGGCCCCCCTATGCGTTGGTAACAGTCCTTTCCTTTGTGCCCCCGCTTCCCACAAACCTCGCATGTTGGTGCATCCGGGCAGTCCTTGCGGCGGTGTCCCGGCTTCCCGCAGGTGTCGCAGTTCCTACAATTCCTCATTAGATGCCCTGGCTGCTTGCATAGGTGGCAGGTGCGCGTCTCAGCTCCTCGCTCCGCTCGGCCATTCTCCCTTCCCCCCGTCTCTAACACTGCTGCTGCTGCCCGGGCGGGATTCCTCTTCTCAGTCGGCCTCGGTAGGTACACCTCATACTTCCGCTGCGCCAACTCCACTCTCTCTGCTAGCTCAAACACTTCTTCAGGTGTCGCCTTAGCCCCTAGCTCGTATACTCGCATCCTCAAGCCTCCTGCCAGCCCCTTGTCTAAGCCGTTCAAGAATTTGCTAATGATCATACTGCTGTCAGTGCACACCACATCCTCCGCCAGGTTCATCAACCGTCCGTAGTACGTTAGAAGTGATTCCTCGTCCCGACGCCTGAACTCCTGGAACTCCCTAATGCGCTGGGCCGTGTGCCCCAGAAACTGCTTCCTCATCCGATCCAAGAACAGTAATGTTGGGTCCTCGCCATCCTCCTCCGCTCTCCTCAACCATTCTCCAATTTTCATGCGGTACATCGTCTCTACCTCCCCTCCTAGTGTGTTTCGCGGGCTTAAGAAGAACTCGATAGGGTCCATACCGCTCCGGTCACACCTGTACTTAACATTGCTTATCTGCATCAAGTAGTTCTTCAGGCTCGGGCCCGTCCCTTCATTCCCCGTGAAGCGCACCGGTACCTCCACTCTTGGCTGTGCCGTCGCGGCCCACCTCCCTGTGTCTCAGCTTCCTAATTCTCCCCGATCTGACTGAACAGCTCCCCGCTGCCTCCCCTTATCTCCTCTGCTACCTGTACTGGTCCCGTACAGCATTCGCTCCAGCCCCTCGCGGGCTGCTCTCGCTCCTCCAGATCCTTCTCCGTATGGCCGTGGCCTCCTTGACCCTATCGGACTTGGGCTCCTCTTCCTATCATCTGCGTGATCTTCTTTGCGCCTTTCCGCACCATCCCACCGCTCTGATTTCCATGCAAGCGAGCGCTCCTGGTGCCGCGGCTCAGGCTCTCCTCGCCGCCATTCTCTCTCTTCTTTTCTTAAACCATACGGCGATCGCTGGCCCCTTTCCTTGCCATGCCTTTCCGCATCCTGCCTCCGCTCCCTTCCGCGCGGGCTTCTCTGGCGCCGACCCTCGTAGTCTTCCTCCTCTTCTCGATTCTCACGCTCCGCCCTTTGTCCTTCGCCCGCCGCCATTCGTCGTCGGCGCTCATACCTCGGTTCTGGTTCAGGCGAGCGGAAGACACCCGCATGTGCATCCCGTCCTCCTTCGCCTTCTCGCTTCGCCTTCGACCGGCGTTCCGCCCCCTTGGCGCTTCCTTGCGACGCGTTGTTTTCACGCCGCCTCACTGGTGAGTGCTCCTCGTTCTCCCGCGCCCCGCCACGTCGGCCTAGTTCCTCATCTTCCTCTTCTTCGTCCGCTTCACTCGCCGAATCGAGCGACTGTATGTCAGCGTCGCCATCGTATTGGCACGCGCGTCCTCTGTGCTGTCCCTCCGGCAGGTTCCACGGATCGCTCCTCGTTGGCCTTCTCCACGGCTCAGATCTGACGTGCGGATCCAGTCCGTCATCACCACGATGCCTGCCCGTAGGCTTCACCAATTCTGCACGATACGCCGCCCTGCGGGGCGAACGCGTTGGCGATCTCCCGCGCTTCGATGAGCGCCTCCTTGGCGACGGCGAACGCTCCCGCCGCGAATACGTCCACTGCTACTTGCGCAGCTCATGGCGATCCATGTCGCCTGCACTTCTCTCGTTTGTGAGAGATTCGGGCTCCCACAACTGGCTACCAAGACTGGGGTTAGTCACCTCGCTGCAGTAGCTTAGAGCGGTAACATAAGTCCACTATGCAATGGTAAACAAACGAGAGAACAAGAGTACTATGCTAGGCTAGGCTTACTTATGCTAGGCCACCCTGTCGCGAGATACTCAGCGTAATGGGTTGGGTTCGAGCCGCCTTGGCCTTGGATTGGCCTTGTGCCAGATTTCCTGTCTCCCGAGGACCCTGGAATTGTGCCCGCAGCGCCTTGTAATCCCCCATACTACCAACTTTGCGCTCCTCCCAATGTCCCAACTACCTTGTGTACAAACTGAATGAAAATTACTACACTGCTTCTACACCCCAGTTAGCACAGTTATAGAATATAATGTACTTACCATGATATTCAGTGACAGCTGTCGAAGTCCCTTCCCCTCATGCCTTTCACCTGCACCCTGTCCCTGCAGTACTCTGCTTGCTCCCCTTGTTCCTGCCTTATTGCTCTCAGTCCCCTTCTCCCCCTTTCCGCTGTGCACAGTCATTCCTTCCTTATCTTGATCTGGTTAAAGCCCTGTCTCAAATCTAGCGTGCTAAAGATTCCCGCTCCCACAGATGGCTGCTCACATCACAGTGGCCTCGTCACCTAGGCTGGGGTTAGCCGTCAGTCAGTAACATGTATTTTTTGAGAATTCTCAAAACGTGTTTTTTGAGAATTCTCAAAACGTGTTTTTTGAGAATTCCAAAAAAACACGGGCTGGGGTTAGCCGTCAGTCAGTAACATGTATCCACCGAGCAAACAAACGAGAGAACCAACTAAGCAGTGAGTTCCTAGTCTATTTGAATCTCTACCCCATGCCGCGCAGTTTCCCGTAACTCACATTGGGCTCCGCCCGCTAGGATTTAGGATTGGCCCTTCAGATTGCCCAGGGCTCGCCCTTGAATTTGTCCCACCCTGCACCTCGCAAGTCCCTGAATCACCACTTTGCGTCACTCCCCACGCACCAAACTCACCTTCTACAGTACTTCGCATAACCCAACTACACCTACACTAGCAAGTAACTGAATCTATTGCAAACAACAATACATTCTGTGCAGTCACTCAAATGCTCTGCCCCTCAGCCCCCTTTCTCCCCACCTGCACCCAGTGGTTGAATGCAGCCCCCTGCTTGCACCGGAACTGCCTATTCAAATACGCTGTGAAGTTGCCCTCCACGAATGGAAGCTCGCGCACGCGGTGGTATACCACCAGGCCGGCGTCGATGTAGGGGGCGAGCACCACGTCCTGTGATGGTGATGGTGGTGGGGTGGGGGAGGAAGGGAGGGAGGTTTGGAGGGACAACAGCCCTCAGTAGCTCGTGCACACGGTGGTATACCACCAGGCCGGCGTCAATGTAAGGGGCGAGCACCACGTCCTGTGGCAGTGGGTTGAAGAGACAGAATGCGTGAATCATGATTGTTGGTGTCACACTCTCTGGTCGCGCACGCGGTGGTATCCACCAGGCCGGCATCGATGTAGGGGGCGAGTACAATGTCCCGTGGTGGTGGTGGTGGGTGAAAGGGAGATGGAGGTACAACAGGTATGTGAATGGCTTGACTGGCTTGACTGGCACGCACGCACCCCCACACACTCACCTGGTCCTTGTCACTGCTCCTGGCCTCGTTGTCCCAATAGAGGCGAGTCACTTGAATGGTTGAAAGATCTGAGAGGCAGCAGCAGCATTGACTACCCCGCTCACACAACGACTCCCCGTCACTGCTCCTAGCCTCGTCGTACCAGTAGAGCCGAGCCGAGTCACTCCCGTGGTTACGGCGCCTACAACGCAATCAGCAGCGTCATGACCCAGAGCACACACGCAAACCTGTTTTTGAGTCGACTCAAAAACAGACCCGGAGCACACACGCTAACCTGTCTTTGAGTCGACTCAAAAACAGACCCAGAGCACACACGCAAACCTGTTTTTGAGTCGACTCAAAAACAGACCCATAGCACTCACGCAAACTCACCTGGTCCTCATCTGCGTTTCTGGCCTCATCGTACCAATAGACCCTGTGAGAATAAGCGAACAGGAATGAATGAACTAGAAGTGAAATGAGTACAAGTAGTAAACCCTAGAATTGTGTACCCCCTATAGGCTAACCCACTGTAGTCTACACAAGCATAACATATATAATGTTTGACACACCCCCATAGGCAAAGTGGGGGAGAACAAGGGGTCACAAGACCAGTCAAGCAAAGCAAAGCAAGCTCAGGGTGGATCACAAAGTCACCACACAGTCCGAGCACAAGAGCAGGGCCAGAGGCCAGTTCACATGCAGGAGTACAGACATATATATAAAACTAGACAAGCAAGAGCAGGTATATATATATGTCACAGTACAAGTAAAGTCAAGAGGAGAGCAAGTGAGGCAAGGCAGACACAAGACCCAGCTGGGTGCAAAAGCGCTGATGATCACAAGGCGCGAGTGCCTTGGTGAACACATCAGCAGTGTTGGCCTCAGAGGCCACGTACGCAAGTCGCAACTGACCACGCTGCTGCAGCTCACGAGCAAGGAAGTAGCGGAGAGCAATGTGCTTCGTTCTGTGCTCCAAGCGCTGCTCTCGACACAAGGCCAGCATGGCCCTGTTGTCTACGTACAGCACTGGAGGAGAACGAGGCGGCTCTCCAAGGTCAGTCAGCAGGTAGGTGAGCCAGCGAAGCTCCTGTGCAGCCATGGCCCCGGCGTAGATCTCAGCCTCACAACTGGAGCCGAGAACCGAAGACGAGCGAGTAGACCGCCACGAGACAGAGCCGGAACCAAGGCTGAAGGTGTAACCCTGTGACGACCGCTGCGTAGCCTGGTCGTCAGCCCAAGAAGCGTCCGCGTGGCCGGTAAGGACCACTGGACTCCGCCCTCCAAGCACAAGCCCCATGCCCGACGTACTGCACAGGTAGCGCAATACCCTCTTCGCTGCAGCCATGTGCTCTGGTCTGTGTCTCCCAGGAGCAACATAGCGTGCAAGAATGCTCAGAGGGTATGCAAGGTCAGGTCGTGTGCAGGTCATCAGGTACATGAGGCAGCCAACAAGCTCTGCATACGGACCACTCGACTCTACGGACTCATCCGAAGGCAGAGCTGAGAGTGAGTGGCGAGTAGGCAGAGGAGTGGCCTGAGGCGAGGAGTACGTGAAGCCGAAGCGCTGAAGGACCTGCTGCACCATGTGTGACTGAGTCAAGGTAATGGTGCGGCGTGCTCTGTCCCGAATGATCTGCAAGCCAAGGTAGCTGCGCAGTTCACCCAGGTCTGTGCACGTGTGTCTCTTCAGCAGTTCGGACTTCACGTAGGCGAGTCCAGCAGTGTCCGCTGTGGCAAAGACCAAGTCGTCGACGTACACGAGGATGTAGAACGGCGGCAGTGAAGTGTCGGTGCGCAGAAACAGCGACGGGTCAGCAGTAGAAGGAGCAAACCCAAGAGCCGCAAGCGTAGTCCTCAGTGTGTCGTGCCACTCACGCGGTGCCTGGCGGAGACCGTAGACTGGCCGTCGGAGGCTCCACTGGGTGCCAGGAGGGAAAGTCCCAGTGAAGCCAGGTGGACGGCGCAGCCAGATCTCCTCGTGCAGGCTACCCTGCAGGAACGCAGTGCTGAAGTCGAGAGAGTGAAGCTCGTAGTCGCGCTGAGCGGCTATGTGCAGCAGCACCCGAAGAGTGGTCATCTTCGGGGTGGGAGAGAAGGTCTGAAAGTAGTCAACTCCCTGCCGCTGACTGAAGCCACGAGCAACGTACCGCGCCTTGAAGACAGGTGGAGAGCCCGGCGGCCGCTTCACCCTGAAGATCCACATGCCACTGATGATGTTCGCCCCAGGAGGGGGAACCGCGTCAACATAGGTGCCTGTGGACTTCCAGGAAGCCATCTCTGCATCCATAGCTGCCTGCCACTGAGAGGAGTAGGGACCCTCTACGGCCTCCGCGTAAGAACGCGGAGTCGGGATGTCTAGTGCATCCGGGTCTCCCTCAGGGGCAAGCAGTACAGACGCGAGATGAGGTGAAGCAGCCGCTAGACACTGTAACTCCTCCTGTCTGTCCTCTAGGACGTCCGTGCCAAGAGCACACTCACCCGCGACGGACGGAGGACAGACAGACGCAGACTCAGCAACAAGACCAGCAGCGTAGTCTAGACGACAGCGAGCAGCTAAGTCAACGAGCTCAGCGACTAGAGCAGACGCAGCAGTGGACTCAAAAGAGGGGTCAGTGACGACAGTAGCAAGCAGACGCGTGACAGTAGGACTGGCAGCGCGAAGAGAGTCCGACTCAGGGTCGGCAAGCGCAGGAAGAGAGGACTCAGGAGGAGAAGGCAAAGGGGCACGCAGAGGAGCAGTGGACGGACGCAGAGACATCCGGTGCGTGCCAGGGACAGGAGGAGGACGCTGACGCGAACCGCGACCACTAGCGCGAGCAGCACGAACAGGCGACGCGGGACGAGACGCAGGCTCACGACGCTCAGCAAGACCTCCAGTAGGACCAGTGTAAGGAGAGGGAGCAGGCAGAGGAGAGGAAGGCTCCAACAGTGACTGCGACTGGACAGGCTGTGGACACTCTACCGAAGGAGAAAGACCAAGAACCTGCTGTAGGAGCGGAACGAAGTACGGCCGAGGCCGCGCGGCAGCTCCAGACTCAGCAGGGACAGCACCAGCACCCTCAGCGACAGCACCAGCGCCACCAACACCTCCAGCGGCAGGACCTCCAGCAGCACCAGCAGCAGAACCACTGCCAGGACAGACAGCAGTAGTCTCAGCACCAACACCCTCAGCAGCTCCAGCTCCAGTAGGACCCGCAGGCCCAGCAGCTCCGGGACCGGCAGCACCAGCACCCTCGACGGTCGACGAAGCTCCAGCTCCAGCAGCACTCCTCCAGCGGCGAGCAAACCACTCACGCAGCTCCTGTGGAGAGAGGGGCTCCCGGCGAGACGCAGCAGCAGGAGAAACCCCAGGCTCAGCAGCTCCAGACTCAGCACCCCCAAGCACAGCCGCTCCAGACTCAGCACCTCCAGGCTCAGCAGCTCCAGACTCAGCACCCCCAGACTCAGCAGCTCCAGCTCCAGTAGGACCCGCAGGCCCAGCAGCTCCGGGACCGGCAGCACCCTCAGCAGGCGAAGAAGCTCCAGCTCCAGCAGCACACCTCCAGCGGCGAGCAAACCACTCGCGCAGCTCCTGTGGAGAGAGCGGCTCCCGCCGAGACGGAAGAACCGGAGAGCCCCCAGGTCCAGCAGGCGCAGGCTCCGCACCTCCAGGCCCAGCACCCCCAGGCTCAGCAGCTCCTGACGTAGCACCCTCCGGCTCAGCACCCCTTGGCTCAGCACCCCCAGGCTCAGCACCCCCAGGCTCAGCACCCCCAGCAGCAGCACCCCCAGGCTCAGCACCCGCAGCAGGACCAGACTCAGCAGCAACCTCGACTGGCTCGACCGTGTCTACCTGGGACACACCTGAAGGGGCAGGAACCTGAGGGGGGAGGGGGTCTACCGGGGGGGGAACTGGTACCAGGAAGTCCGGTGGGGGGGGAAGGGAAGGAGTACGGTAGGGGAAGAGGCGGTAGAAGGGGACTGACTCGTCGAACGTGACGTCCTGGGAGGACAGAACACGACGAGAGGAGGGGTGGTAGAACTGCCACCCTGGAGCGTCAGGGGGGAAGCCAAGGAAGACACAGGGAGCAGCACGGGGGGACAGCTTGTCCGCAGACAAGTCGCGGACAAACGCCCGAGATCCCCAGACACGGAACACAGACGCATCGCCGACCTTCCCCGTCCACAGTAACACTGGGGACATCGCGGGCCGAGAGACCCTGGGGTGAAGGTTGAGCTGATGCGCCGCGTACCGAACCGCAAACGGCCACAGAAAATGGGGGGCAGCCGCATGCATCATGGACGTACGAGCGACATCCATGACCATGCCAATGCGGCGCTCAGCAATCCCATTTTGCTGTGGAGAGTCCGGAAGCGTAAAGGTCTGGCGGATCCCCTGTACACGACAGTAGTCTCGCAGAAGGCGAGAGGAGAACTCCCCACCTCGGTCAGAGTGCAGACGCAGAACAGGAAAGTCCGAGCCGAAGCTCCTCCTGAGCTGGAGACGAGCCTCGCGGATCCAGTCGATCAGCACCTTAGTGACAGCACCCTTGCTGCGCAAGGGGAAGACTGAGGTGTAACGCGAGTAGTCGTCAACCACCAACAGGAAGTAGCGCTCGTGACCCTACCCACGGACGGGGGCCGGGCCCCACACGTCCATGTGAAGTGTCTGCAGAGGAGCCTCTGTCGGGGGAAACTGGGAGGAGTGAGGAGCAGCCCTGAGGCGCCCCTCGACACAGGGGACACAGGAAGGTCCTGGTCCCGAAGGAAGGGGAGGGAGAGACTGGGGAAGACCAGAGACAAGGACACGGGAAGCCATGCCCCGAAGACGGGGCAAGGAGGGGTGGCCTAGAGGGTGGTGCCACAGAAGAGTCTCGTGAGACAGGAGGCGACACGAGCAGGGGGCAGACTCAGGACCAGACCTGGACGCAGCAGCAAACACCTGACCCGACGCTGCTACCTGACCGGACGCGGGGACAGGAGGAGACTCAGTGGTCAGGGTGTAGAGGCTCGACCCCGGCCGACGCGAGAACGTGGCCAGGTGCCGGCCTGTGCGTGCGTCCGTGCAGTGGGTCACCCGCTGACTCGCAGGAGTGAACTGGTGAACCCCCGCATCCTGTAGGTCTGCACCACTCACCAAGTTCGTCGAGAACGAGGGGAGGTACAGGCCAGAGAGGGTGCCCGAGGGGGCAGCCGGACACGGGAGGACAGTGGAGAAGTGAGCGAGGACAGGACCCCCAGAGGGGTCAGCCAGGGAGACAGCAACCGGCCGACCAAGCGGCGTGAGTGTGGTGCGGTCCCGAAAGAAGGAGCGAGAAGCCCCAGAGTCAAGTGTAAAGGTGAGGGAGGCCGAAGCCAACGCGGTACCTGAGAGCGCAGCCTCACCCGCACCTGAGGAAGCAGACTCACTAGCACCTAGAGCAGCAGCCGCACCTGTACCTGGAGCAGGAGACTCAGTAGCACCCAGAGCAGCAGCCTCACCAGTAGCTAGAGCAGCAGGTCCTATACCTGGGTCAGGCGGGACGCACAGGTGACCGGCACGGTCAGCACTAGTAGGCAATGCATACATGGCAGTGAGAATAGCATCATAGTCAAGAGCATATATATCTACCCTCTGCCTAAGCAACTCCCTCCAGTCGGGGAGCTCAGCCTCGTCGCCAAACACGGTACGCCAGGCGTCGCTCAGACGGGCGAAGCAGCGGGACGGTGTATGACTACGTGTCCCACAAGGCTGACCAGTCCGAGTACCAGTGCGAATCACGTAAGAGCAGCGAACAGCACTGAGAGACCCTCCACTCTGAGCGTACCACTCACGAAGCTGGCGAGGCGTGAGAGACACGTGAGAGGGTCGCGGGAGCTGCATCTGGCCGCCACCACGAGTAGAAGCAGCAGGAGTGGTAGTAGGAGTAGCGTCGCCACCCCTACAGCCCCAACCAGCGTACCACTCACGCAGCTGCTGGGGCGTGAGGGACTCACGCCGGCGTCGCTGGGGCTGCATTTGGCTCCGCAAGTAGAAGCAGGAGCAGGACTAGCAGCAGGGAGGCAGGCAGCCAGGCAAGCCAAAAGGCAGGCAGGCAGGCAAGCAGGCGACGCGCAGCGTGCTAGCAGGGCAAGAGCTCACCAGTGGTGGGAAGAGTAGGCTCGGCGACTCAGCGGCTCGGCAGCTCGGCGGCTCGGCGGCTCGGGCGACTCGGGCGGCTCGGCGGCAAGGCGGCTCGGCAGCAACTGCAGCTCAGCAGCTCGGTGACTCGGCGGCTCGGCGGCAGGGCGGCTCGGCAGCAACTGCAGCTCAGCAGCTCAGCGACCCGGCGGCTCGGCGGCAGGGCGGCTCGGCTGCTGGGCGGCTCGGGTGCAAGGCGGCTCGGCGGTGGGGCGGCTCGGCTGCTGCAGGTGAGCGGTTCGGCTGTTGCAGCGGGAGATGAAGGAGGAGGAGAAGCAGGGGAGGCCACGCACCTGCCACCCCTCTGCTGGCCTCTCCCGCAAGCGGCCCCCTCAGGTCGCCTCGACAGGCGACGGGAAAAGGGGGGGTGGGTGGTGGGGGGCCGGTAGGTGCAGCGGCGGGGCCAGCAGGTGCAGTTGCGGGGCCGGTAGAAGGGGACGGCAGGAGCCGTCAGGAGGGGACGGCGGGGCCGTCAGGAAGGGACGGCGGAGCCGTCACGAAGGGACGGCGGGGCCGTCAGGAGGTGACCGGGCCGCGACGGGGGCAGGCGGCGGGGCCGCGTAAGGGCCTGGGCGGGGCCGCTACAGAGCCGTCGGCGGGGCCGCGTGAAAGCCGGGGCGGGGCCGCGTAGAAGCCGGAGCGGGGCCGCGCGAGAGCAGGCGGCGGGGCCGCGAAGGAGCCGGGGCGGGGCCGCGTGAGAGCAGGCGGCGGGGCCGCGTAAGGGCCTGGGCGGGGCCGCGACAAAGCCGTCGGCGGGGCCGCGTGAAAGCCGGGGCGGGGCCGCGTAGAAGCCGGGGCGGGGCCGCGCGAGAGCAGGCGGCGGGGCCGCGAAGGAGCCGGGGCGGGGCCGCGTGAGAGCAGGCGGCGGGGCCGCGTAAAGGCCGGGGCGGGGCCGCGACAGAGCCTGCTGCGGGGCCGCGTGAGAGCCGGCGACGGGGCCGCGTAAGGGCCGGCGGCGGGGTCCCGTCAGAGAGGGCGGCGGGGCCGCGTCAGTGAAGGCGGCGGGGCCGCAGGGGAAATGGCGACCCGAGGGGTCGCTAAAAAAAGATCGCGCCTCGGGGGGCGCTTCGGTGGGCCCAAAAAAAACGGTCCGTAGAAGGACCCGCTCTATACCATGTGAGAATAAGCGAACAGGAATGAATGAACTAGAAGTGAAATGAGTACAAGTAGTAAACCCTAGAATTGTGTACCCCCTATAGGCTAACCCACTGTAGCCTACACAAGCATAACATATATAATGTTTGACAGACCCGAGTCACCCCTGCATAGCGATGGTGCTCCAACCACTGCACGGGATGCATGGGAGACAGAACCAGAGCACCAATGCACCACCCCACTCACACCCACAAACCCACCTGGTCCTCATCTGCGTTTCTGGCCTCATCGTACCAATAGAACCGAGTCACTCCTGCATAGCGATGGTACTCCAACCACTGCACAGGGGAAATAAGGAACAAACACAAAACCATGAGCAGAAATCGAAAGGACAAGCAATTCAACAATAGAATAAAAAACAGACCCCACGGCATAGTACAGGCTTGAGATTTACTCACACAATGACAGAGTAGAGAGATTAAAACGGATAGTTGGAATCTCTCGAGCGGTGCTCATTGTAAGGATGTGATGTGAAGAGAGCCGAGCATGCCCTCCTCACATGCGCTTCCACATTTGAGGTGCCTCAAAACGGATAGTTGGAATCTCTCGAGTGGTGCTCGTTGCAAGGAAGCTGTTTTAGAGACTCTGAAAACACCCTCAAAGATAGTTGGAATATCTTGTGAGAGGAGCTCATTGTAAGGATGTGATATGAAGAGAGCCGAGCATGCCCTCCCACCAGCGAAGCGAGCTTGATTGGCCTGGCAGAGGCTTTCATTCCAATAAAAATCATGTCCATTGTTGACATGGCAGGCAGGCGCTTCCTTCCAATCAAACTACGACGTAATAGAGCGTCGGATTTCACCCCTGATCTGGAAGCCCATCACGTAAGGGAATTCCATGAGACCGGATTTCACCCCAAATCTCGCACCTTAACCCCTAGGAGAAGATAGGTTATGGTAATCACCCCATGGCCCATCATAAAAACCGTCCAAGCAACTGTCAACACCGACCAGCTGTATTCTGATCTCTAACTATTGTCAGGATCAGGCTTTCACCCCCCACCCCGCAAAGTTTCATTCTCCAACCCGAGTGCGACCAACCGCGTCGAACCGCCATGCACCAACCGCCCAGACCGCAACCGCCGAAAGACCCTCGAGCGATTTCATCCCAACCGAGAAGATCCCCAGAGAGAGGTAGAGCCTTATAAGAAGAGAAGGCTCGGCCGAGAAATTATTCTCCATTTCTCATCCGTCAATTCCTTATTGAATTCCTAGCGCACCGCTTCCCAAGACTACCTTCATTCTTATGGAGATCACCCGACCCAGTTTGCCATCCTACCAGATTGCCCCGAAAGAGCAGCCCGACCGTGGAAATCTCACCCCTGAGAAGATGAAGCAAAAATTTGGATTCAATCTAGCTGAGCGTGGAGGCCACATCGAAGTTCTCTTCGATTATCATGTCGAGAAAGGAAAAGCCCTACTCGACGTCTAATGATGCCCAGCAACCAGCTATGACAAGTGCGTCAAGGGTATGTACGACGAATGGATCTACCGCGAGTTCCCCATTGATTTCGGCGGGACGCCGAAAGCATAGACAGCGGGATTACAACTGTAACAACGTGTGAGTTGCGATAACGAGTTAACTTTCCGAGTGCCGAGTCAACGGAGGTGTCCAAGCCGCTTGAACCAACGCGGATGTGAATCACCGCCGGTCCAGGTGCATGCAGGATCAACCGAAGGGGCGCACGCAGGATCAACCGACGGGAAGTCCGAATGACAGGAGGTTGGGTATGGTTGACGAACCGTAGACAACCAACGGCAGTCCGGATGCATGGAGGTTACATGCGGTTAGCCAAGCTGCATGTAGGACCGAAATAACCGCTTATAAAGTAGTACGAGTATAAAGAGTAGAGTAATTCTGAGAAAAAAATCACTTTCGACTGCTTCTCTTCTGTATTGCCTCGTTGATTATACAAAAGATTCTGCCTTCATCCCCTATGTTCACCAACGATCGCTGGAATTACCGGGCATGCCCAGATAGGCGATGAAACATATTCTCCAGTAAGGGATCCCCTTGTGGATTAGAGACTGGGCGGTCATATCCGATTTAGAACTACCGGACTTGGGTGAGGCGTTAGGTCATAACCCAAGACGAGTAGTCCCAAATCGGATATGACCGCATAATCTCTAATCCACAAGGGGATCCATTACTGGAGAATAGGTCTCACCGCCTATCTGGGCACTAAGTTGGAATATACGCGTACAGCGTATATTCGCGTTTCGTATATACGCTAGTGTACATACGCTATCCGCTTAGGGGTTCGTTTTGGAGATACGCTTTTTCGGGCAGAGAAAAAACTTTCCGGGCAGGATGAAATAAAAATACTCCCTATTCTCACTAAGGCTTGCCTTTGCATAATACTGAATACGAATGACGGGTTCAATGGGAGGTGGAGTAGACATAATAGCTAGAAAGTGAAGTAGCGTGAAAGCGGGAACGAAATGACGAGTAAAGGTTAGCCAACAGGGCTGGCTGGTAAGTACCGTGAGATTTGTTGGGGGGTTAATTTTGACAGGTTGGAGTTTGTAGATAAAGTGGGGTTCAATGCGGTAGAAGGGATGGATTTCAATGCCTAGATGGGATCTGAAATTCAACATTTGCCTGACGACTTCGAAGTCAGATCCCCGTTTGCCAAGACCGCGGATTCGAATTTCGACTATGGCGAAATGCTCCCATAGGAAATCCGCATCTTTTTTGCGATTTTTTTTCGGGCAGCCCTAAAAAAATTCTAAGAGCGTATAGCGTATTCGCTAGCGTATAGCGGATAGCGTGTGTACGCTAGCGTACATACGCTGTACGCTTAAGGTGTTAAGCGTATATTGCAACTTAGTCTGGGCATACCCGGTAATTCGGCGATCGTTGGTGAATAAGGGGGATGCAGGCAGAATCCTTTGTATAGTCAACGAGGTAATACAAATGAGTAACAGTCGGAAGTGATCTCATCCTCAGAATTACTCTACTCTTTATACTCGGAATCCGACTACTATATAAGCAGTTATTTCGGTCCTACATGCGGCTAGGCAAACCGCATGTAACCTCCATGCATCCAGGCTGCTGTTGGTTGTCTACGTTTTGGCAACCGTACCCAACCTCCTGTCGTTCGGACTCCCTGTCGGTTGAATCTACGTGCGCCCCTTCGGTTGATCCTGCATGCACCTGGACCGGCGTTGATTCACATCCGCGTTGATTCAAAAGGCTTGGGCAATCGCAGTAACCTCTCTTGACTTAGCACTTGGGAAGTTTGACTCGTTATTGCAAGTCACTAGTTGTTACAGTTGTAACTCCCGCCGTCTAAACTTTCGGCGTCCGATTGAAATCAATAGGGAACTCGCGGTAGATCCATTCGTCATACATACTCTTGACCCACTTGTCGTGGCTGGTTGCCGGGCGTCGAGTAGGACTTTTCCTTTCTCGACATGATAATCGAAGTGGACTTCGACGTGGCCTCCACGCTCAAATGGATTGAATCCAAATTTCTGCTTCATCTCCTCAGAGGTGAGATTTCTGAGGCCGGGCTGCTCTTTCGGGGTGGTTTGGTAGAAAGGCGAATTGGGTCGGGTGATTTCCACGAGAATGAAGGTAGTCTTGGGAAGCGGTGAGTTGGGTATTCAATAGGAAATTGACGGATGAGAAATGAAGAATGATTTTTTGGCCAAGCTTCCTTACTTAAAAAGCTCTACCTCTCTCTGGGGATATTGTCGGTTGGGATGAAGTCGCTCGAGGGTCATTCGGCGGATGCGGTTTGGGCGGTTGGTGCATGGCGGTTCGACGCGGTTGGTCGCACCTCGAGTTGGAGAATAAAACGTCGCGGGGTGAGGGGTGAAAGCCTGATCCTGAAGATGGTTTGGGATCAGGATATAGTTGGTCGGTGTTGGTGGTTGCTTGACGGTTTTAATGATGGGCCATGGAGTGATTCCCATACCCTATCTTCTTCTGGAGGTTGAGATGCGAGGCCTTGGGTGAAATCCGGTCTCGTATAATTCCCTTTGGTGATGTGCTGCCAGATTAGGGGTGATTTGGTGATGGACTACCTTCCGGTCTGATTTGGTGATGAGCGGCGAGTGGAGTCGCCTCACTATCGAACACTCGGTTGTGTTTTGAGTCTACTCAAAACTTGATTGGCATAGCATGGCATGGGAGGCGCTTCCATTCCAGCCAAACTAGAACGTCATAGAGAAGCGAGTGGTGTAGCCACAACAATCAATGTAACAGAGAACACTCGGCTATAGACCGTGCTGAATATGCTATCACTGCCACTGCAATCAACCTCTCTTGCCCCCCCTCACCTGCCACACATGCAGCGCCCAGAAGCGAGTATAGTCCCCATCAAAGACGCGGTTATACACCATGCCTGCTATCACCAGCGGCCCCTCCACTGCTGCTCGTAGAAATAGTTGTGGACGTTCTTGGGCTTTATTGGTTGCAACTGCCTGTGATGCTGCCAGCTCTGCTGCCGCTGCTGCTGCTGCTGGTGGTGCTGCTGCCGTTACTGCTTTTGCTCCTGCTGTTGCTGGTGTGGCAGTTTCAATGGAGCCAGGTGGGAGATGCAGGAATGCTTCACTTGTGTTGAAGGCACGAGGGTGGAGGCTGGGAGGATGGCGGGTGGGGCAACGGGGGTTGAGGGAAGGGGATGGGGGATGCGGGATGGGGACATGGAAAAAGAGCCGGCAGCACTACCAGCCGGGTTGAGCAATGCAAGGGAGCAAGGTGAGAGTGAGAGTCACTGGCAACTTCAACGAAGCCGGGTGGGAGGTGCAGGAATACTGCAGTCGCGTTGACGGCATGAGGGTGCAGGCTGGGAGGTTGGGGGGGTTGGAGGATAGGGGACCGGGGACGGGGGATGGGAGAAGAGGAGCATACAGAGAGAGAAGGTTAGTGTCATCGGCACTTTCAATGGAGCCGGGCGGAAGATGTAGGAATGCCGCTGCACTCGAGCTGAATGCGCGAGTCTGCATGCATGAAATAAAAGCCAGTTTTGACCTGATTTCAGTGTGCAGCACTGTCTCACACGGCTCTCCGCCAACACTCTCAGCGTCAGCTTCAGCATCTGAAGGGCTTTCATCACCTCATGCTACATGCCTGGGTGCTCCTGCCACCACCACCATCCCCTCCTCATGCGTGTGTGATAGCACTGTTCACGTGCCACACAACAAGCACCCCTCCCACCAGGATTTTCCCTCACCAGCCTTCACCCCTCACTCACCTGCTGTCAGTATGCAGCACTGGCTCAACGTTCTCCTCTAACGATCACCTGCCAATCCTCAATGTTCCCCACCCGGCTGGTCCGGCACATCATGCCGCATGCCCCTGCCTCCACCAGTAGCCCCTCACCTGCTTTCATTGTGCAGCACTGTCTCAACATTCTCCTCCAACGATCTTTCAACTTAGATTCAATACTCTCCCCCAGCCTCAATACTCTCTCCCAGCCCTCTTACACTCAGCCCCCAGCCTTCCCCCCTCACCTGCTTTCAGTGTGCAGCACTGTCTCAATGTTCTCCTCCAACGATCTTAGATTCAGCTTCAGCATCTCAAGTGCCTCCATCACATCACGCTGAAGCTCTTCCTTTTCGCCCTTTCCCTGCTCCGATGGGGACCCATTTCTCCAACCCTCTCCTCCTCCTTCCCCATGTATCACTCCCTCTCCCTGCCCTAGCAGTTTCTCATTCTCCCGCCCCTCTTCTCCGCACCGCTGCTGCCTCTCTTCTTTCTCCACCCCTCTATCAACCCCATTGCCCCCTCTCTCTTCCCCATCCTCTACCCCATTGTCCCCAGCCACTCCTTGCCTTTGCCCCATGCCCCCATCCTCTCCCACACGCACTGCTTCTCTGTCTGCCTGCTCCTCTTCCTCCTTGCGTCCTTCCCTGCTTCCTCCCACCAATTGCTGCCCTGGCTTGCCACGTGGCACGATCTGATTGGTGCAGTAGAGGCGTGAATGAATGAGGAAAGGAAAGGGAGTGGAGAGGAGACGGAAGAGAGGACAGGGGGAGAAGGCATATTAAGGGAGAGAAGCGCAGGAAGAGAAGGAAACGAGTCGATAACGAGAAGAAAACTTGGAAACAGGGAAGCAACAGGGGGAAGGATGGCGGTCAGGGAGAGAAGCAAAGGGGAAGGGAGAGAAGCAAAGGGGAAGGGAGAGAAGCAAGGGGGAGGAAGAGGAGGACAGGAAGAAGAGGAGAGGAGGGAGGACGGAGTGAGGAGAGAGAGAAGGGAGCGAGAGGGAGAGGGGTATAAAACCGAGGGAGCGGAAAAAGACGGGGATGGCGGAGGGAGAAGAGGGTTATGGGGAGGGAGGGGAGTGTGAGGAAGGAGTGGAAGGAGAGGACGGAAGAGAGGGAGAAAGACGAACGGTTGCAGCCCAAGAGGAGAGGAGAGGGTAGAGCTTGAGGAACTTAAGAGGCTATTACAACCTGCTGTAGCTTGCGAGGAGAGGAGCGGGTAGAGCCAGAAGCAGAGGGCGGAGAGAGCAGGCGGTGGGTGGCAGGGTAAAGGTGCAGAGTCCACGTCAGCAGGCCCAGGGCCACGACAAACACCGCCGCCCAGGACGACGTCACTGCCGCCCAGCGCTGCCGCCTGGAGGAATGGCGACGGCAAGAGGGCTTCTTGGAAGGTGCTGCTGGCGGAAGGTTGGGGGGGAAATTGATCTAGATGCTGAAAAGGGGAGTTGTCGCGTTTACCCTTTTGATGGTTGGGTAAACTGGGAGTAAAACAAGCTGGCTTGCGGCAAAGTTTGCCATTTCCAGGCGAATTGGAGGGGAAATAAGCTGCAAGAATGAAGTATGTAACATTCCCCGAGCCATTGACAACTGGTCAGTGGTCAAACGGTGGGTAAATCAAGGTGCCTTTTGATTGGAATCTGGAGTTTGAACTTTGCAGAGCCATCTAGGGGGGAACTCGCCTGCTGCTCTGGTGGCTTCCGTCATTTGGGACGGCTTGTAAGAATACATGAAAAGAAGCACAGGAATGTAGAGAAGTTTCGCCGGTGATACTGATTCCCTCCGCGTCGTTAGCGCATGGAGATCACCGGCTACGTGTCACACTGCCATTCGTTGCGAAGAGAGCCATGGCTTTCCGAGTATCATGACGCAAAACTGTTGAGTCAGAAATTGTTGACTAGGTTACACGAAGCATGATTGAGTCAGCCTGAAATTCATTTCTTGAATGAACATCAATAATACTCCTGGCAGGCCTTATTATCGCAGGTGTCGTCCGCGTTTCACGGACGACAGCAGTGATGGTAGTACTTTTGTTCTGGTCGGGAACCCAAGAAAGATGTCGCATTATCATTTCACGGGCCCGAGATTCGAACACGGATTCTGCCTCCCCGGCGCTCTGCACCGCAGAGAAAGCACAGATATTCTCCATGGTAAAGCTCTGCCGTAGCATCATGCTATGCCGTGAATCCCGTAAACCTAGGGCTCAGAATATTGCAAGCCGTCATAACGACTGTCGATTTCACCAGCGGCAGCGTTTTCTGTTCCGCGCAACCGCCCTGCAAGGCGCGGCAGAATCCAGGGCGCTTGCTGAAGCTGAACAGTCGCGTCAGCGAGAGTGTAACAAGGCAACCCAAGCGACGCAAGGCAACTGTTATATAAATGCGGCAACTGCATCTGTGTCTTCCTTCATAACTCAGTACTGCTTTGCTATTATTTGTTACGAGTGCAATTGAGTGATCGAGCGAGAATTGCACTATCGAAGGAAGAGTACAATGAGCGAAGGCATGAGCGAAGAATATATAGCGAAACTACAGTGGTAACGGTAATGGACTGTGGTTGTCGCACGACGGGCAGGGCTGATTTTATCAGGGTAATTACCCTGATTTCAGGGTGATTTCAGACTTGTCACATTCTGGTCCCTGTAATTTCAGGTTTATCGTCTTCTGAACACTGATCTTGTCAGAGTAGTACTTTAGCGAACGCTGGAATTTTGTATACACTCACAGAGTAGTGTTCTTAAGGACCCTGTCTATACAGAGTATGCGTCTTGTTGACCCTGAATGCAACGTTATCGGGACGAAGCTTCCAGGAACCTTTGTCCCGATAACTCCCATGTGCGTAATCATGATTACGCTTGCACCCATCTCATGGCGTATCTTCACTTCGGGTCATGGCACTTTTCGGGTCAACCGAGATTCTTGGACAACCAATAAAGCGCATTTTAGCTACACTTCTGCAATATAATTGGTTCCCTAATGTCCCAAAGTATGCAGACATGACCCGAACAGTGCAATGACCCGAATTGAAGATACGCCCTCAGAGACTCCATGCGCGCTATCCAGGTTATCGCAGTACACTACGTTTCTGTTAGAATGACTCAAAATTCATTTTCTGATTTTTGTTGGCTGTATACTTAAACCGAGAAACAAATCGCGATCTGGCGGATTGCAAAGTGATTCGGCAGGAGATTAAAAAAAAACCATCCGTAGTGAAACACCGTATTTCCATGTGACTGATAATTTAGTCATCAGCTGTTTTTCGTTAAATTTTGAGAAAAAGATGTCAAAGTTTGAAGAAAGAAAGAGGATTGAACTAGCAAGAATGAGGATACAAATAGCAAACCCTAGAAGGGTTGTACTCGCTATAGAGCACCCCACTACAGGCTAGAGCATAAGATAACATTCTGACACACCCCCATAGCCAAAGTGGGGTGTAATCAGCAGAGAAGGCAAAACAAAACAAGCTCAGGGTGGATCACAATGTCACCACACATTCTGAGCACAAGTTCAAGAAGCAATAGTTCAAGTACACAATTATCAGCAAAGCTAGTGGTGGTCACAACGGGCAAGTGAGGAGGAGGAGTGAGAGCGAGAGGAGTTGGGAGGCGACGGCTGAAGCTGCAGACACACGGGCAACAGGAGGCACACTGGCACAGCGGCTACCGGGCGAAGCCCCCGGACTACTGGAGTAACTGGCCCCGCGGCTAAAGTAGCGGCAGACGAGCAACGGACCCACGGGCGGCTGGCACAGCTGGCTACGACTGGGCTACCGGGCGAAGCCCCCGGAATACAGGTGCTGCTGACGACACGACGGCAACCTCCACTCAACCTCCCGCACACAGTCCAACCCCCCTCATACACACCCACTGCTACACCGCTAGCTCCACTCCCACGCACCCCCCTTAAACCCTAAACCCAGTCTCCCACACAACCACCCCCCTCAGCGACAGCTGCAGCAGTGGGAGACGAAGGAGGAGGAGGAGAAAGGGAGGAAGGCACACCGGCCACCCCCATACCCGCCACCCCACAGCTCGCCCCTCCCGTCGTCCTGTCGAGGCGACCTAAGGGGGCCGCTTGCGGCCCCCGAAGGAGCCGCGACAGGCGACGGGAAATGGGGGGGGGGAGGGGGGGGGTGTGGAGGAAAGGGCCCACCACGGACCTGATTGGAGGGCGGGGCCGCGACAGTCGGGGCAGGGCCGCGACATAGGGCGGGGCCGCGACGAGGGGCGGGGCCGCGACGTAGGGCGGGGCCGCTTCGAGGGGCGGGGCCGCGACGCAGGGCGGGGCCGCATCGTAGGGCGGGGCCGCGACAGGTCGGCGGCGGGGCCGTGACGTAGGGCGGGGCCGCGACAGTAGGGCGGGGCCGCGACGAGGGCGGGGCCGCGACGGTCGGGGCGGGGCCGCGACATAGGGCGGGGCCGCGACGTAGGGCGGGGCCGCGTCGAGGGGCGGGGCCGCGACGGTCGTGCAGGGCCGCTTCGAGGGGCGGGGCCGCGACGTAGGGCGGGACGCCCGCCGCGCGCCTCGGGGCGCACAGCGGGCAAAGAACCGCCGCGCGCCCCGGGGCGCACGGCGGGCAGAAAACCGCCGCGCGCCTCGGGGCGCACGGCGGGAAGGAAAAACCGCCGCGCGCCTCGGGGCGCACGGCGGGAAGGAAAGGTAGCAGCGGAAGCAAGGTGGGGACACACCCACAGGATCGATCCAAGGGGATCGACCTGCTCTGATAGCATGTCAAAGTTTGAAGAAAGAAAGAGGATTGAACTAGCAAGAATGAGGATACAAATAGCAAACCCTAGAAGGGTTGTACTCGCTATAGAGCACCCCACTACAGGCTAGAGCATAAGATAACATTCTGACAAAAGACATGTGTAAATTATAATAATTGCGACCCGAAACGAGACACTAATATTGAAAAACGTCTCCCCCCACCAAAACCAGGTCGAGTCTTGACACCCCTCCCATGAGCAGTCCGTTCCCCCATTTCCTCCCCCCTTCTCCCCCTTTTGTGCGGACGACCCGCGGTCACGAAATAGCCCCCACCCACCCCACTCACTTGCTCCCTCCCCCTTTGCACACCCCTCGCTCTCGCCCCTGCGCCCCTAGGAGATCCTCCCACGCCACATGCACTCCCTCCAGCCAATCCGCCAATCCAGCTAGATTTCTCGCGTCAAACACGTCACTGTTTTTCTCGCCAAACTAGAAAGAAGAAAAAAGTCAACCCTGATTTCAATTCGCCAACCCTGACAGCCCAGACTTACGATTTCGTGAACCCTGAACATCGCAAGAAGGCTCAGGCTTGGCGTTTTGCGGAAAATGTGCCTTCAGGGTAAATCTCTTTTTGGGGGATTGAAAACAAGGTACCCATATTTGAATCGTTAGCCCTGGCGACGGGCCTGGGACTGAGGTTGGGGAAAATGTCGAAGTGGAGGCCCAGAGCGCGGGTTACCCGCCGAGCCGTGAGGTCGGGGTGCAACGTGCGAAGGTGGTGGGAGGATTGTCGATGCGAGGGTTGCGAGTGGTAACGGTGCTGACTGTGGTGCTATAGTGGTGTACGCGCTGAGCGGGGAGACGAAGTAAGGAAAAGGAATTTTCCTTACGCTACCCCCCCCCCTCCCTAAGGAGGTCCTCCTTACGAAAGCGCGTGTACATCCCTGAAATTTCGGCTGCGCAGATTGTCGGAAACTCATGATCTGTGGCATCCCATGGCTTGCCTTCTCCTTCCTGCTCTCACCCTCCCTCCCTTCTTCTTCCAAGCTCTTTTCCTGTGATACCTTACCTGCTCTGCCTCAGCCATTACCTGCCCCCTCCAGAGCTCGTGCTCGGGTCTCCCGTGCACGTGTCACTGGACACTCTTGCTTAGGCCGGGTGCTTCTCACCACTGCAGCATTCGTCAGGCGGTTCCCCGTGTGCTCTCTTCTCTGATTCCTCTGCACCAGCACTCTTGGACCCCCCATGTCCTGCGTCTCTCTTCTCTGTGTATCCAGTGCCACTTCCAGCATATCCCTCTCTGCAGGTATGCTCCCTGTCCCATGCCACCCAGTTCTCAGCCACTCTCATTCCTGCTGGTTCTGTCAGCACCTGTGTTGTTGGCTCCATCGACTCATCTTCCCATGTCTCTCCCTTAATCACCTTTACTGTCTTCACGGCCTTTTGTTCTTTCTTACTCATCGCATCTCCCACGGTATGCTCTAGTCCTTCTCCTGTTGTCAGGCACTCCCATGCCCCCTCTTCCTTGCTCTCCCTCGCTGCTTCTTCCTGCTTCTTGGCCGGGTCCCTCACCGGACCTTTGTCGGAGATACAGCTGTTGCAATCACTGAACAGGAATGAATGAACTAAGAGTGAGAACAGTACAAATACCTAACCCTAGAATTGTGTACCCCCTACAGGCTAACCCACTGTAGCCTAAACAAGCACAACAACATATATAATGTTTGACACACCCCCATAGGCGAAGTGGGGGAGAACTAGGGGTCACAAGACCAGTCAAGGCAAAACAAGCTCAGGGTGGATCTCAAGGATACCACACAAATTCCGAGCACAAGCAAGTGGTCACAAGACCAGTTCACATGCAGGTTGATGATAGAGCAAAAGGTACAATGATCACAACCTAGCAAGAGTAAACATGCAGGTATATATATAGAGATCACAGTACAAACAGGCTCAAGAAGTAAGCAAGTGAGGTCCAGTAGGCACAAGGCCTAGAAGAGTGCAAAAGCGCTGATGGTCACAAGGCTGAAGCGCCCTGGTGAACACATCAGCAGTGTTGGCCTCAGAGGCCACGTAACGCAGGCGAAGCTGACCACGCTGCTGTAGCTCTCGAGCAAGGAAGTAACGCAGAGCAATGTGCTTCGTTCTGTGCTCCAGTCTGTGCTCCTCACACAAGGCAATGGCTGCCTTGTTGTCGACGTACAACACTAGAGGAGAACTAGGCTGCTCTCCGAGGTCGGTCAGCAAGTAGGTGAGCCAGCGTAGCTCCTCGGCTGCCATGGCTGTGGCGTAGATCTCAGCCTCACAACTGGAGCTGAGAACAGAAGAAGAGCGAGTAGAACGCCAAGAAACTGAACCAGAGCCAAGACTGAAGGAGTAACCCTGAGACGACCGCTGAGTAGCCTGGTCGTCTGCCCAAGAAGCGTCTGAGTGCCCAGTGAGAACAACTGGGACTCGCCCTCCAAGCACTAGCCCCATGCCCGACGTACTGCACAAGTAGCGCAACACTCTCTTAGCTGCATCCATGTGCTCCTTCCGGTGACGGCCGGGAGCGACATAGCGTGCAAGAATGCTGAGAGGGTATGCAAGGTCAGGTCGAGTGCAGGTCATCAGGTACATGAGGCAACCCACAAGCTCTGGATACGGGCCACTCGACTCTACGGACTCATCCGCAGGCAGAGCTGAGAGCGAGTGACCGGTAGGCAGACGAGTGGGCTGAGGCGAGGAGTACGTGAAGCGGAAGCGCTGAAGGACCTTCTGCACCATGTGTGACTGAGTCAAGGTGATGGTGCGGCGTGCTCTGTCCCGGGTGATCCGCAAGCCAAGATAGCTTGTCAGTTCACCCAGGTCTGTGCACGTGTGTCTCTTCTGCAGCTCCGACTTCACGTGGGCGAGTGCCACAGTGTCAGCAGTAGCAAAGACCCAAGTCGTCGACGTACACAAGGACGTAGAACGGCGGCAGTGAGGTGTCGGTGCGTAGAAACAGCGACGGGTCAGCAATAGAAGGGGCGAGCCCAAGAGCCGCAAGTGTAGTCCTCAGTGTGTCGTGCCACTCACGAGGTGCCTGGCGGAGACCGTAGACTGGCCGTCGGAGGCTCCACTGGGTACCAGGAGGGAACGACCCAGTGAAGCCAGGTGGACGGCGCAGCCAGATCTCCTCGTGCAGGCTGCCCTGTAGGAAAGCAGTGCTGAAGTCAAGCGAGTGGAGCTCGTAGTCACGCTGAGCGGCGACGTGCAGCAGAACCCGAAGAGTGGTCATCTTCGGGGTCGGGGAGAAGGTCTGGAAGAAGTCAACTCCCTCTCGCTGACTGAAGCCTCGTGCAACGTAACGCGCCTTGAAGACAGGCGGAGAGCCCGGCGGCCGCTTCACCCTGAAAATCCACATGCCACTGACGATGTTCGCCCCAGGTGGGGGAACCTCGTCGACGTAGGTGCCTGTGGACTTCCAAGAAGCCATCTCTGTGTCCATGGCCGACTGCCACTGAGAGGAGTAGGGACTGGCCATCGCCTCTGCGTAAGAGCGTGGGGTAGGGATGTCTGGTGCATCCGGGTCTCCCTCAGGGGCAACAAGCATGGACACGTGATGGGGCAAAGCGGCAGCAAAGCACTCAAACCCCTCCTGCCTGTCCTCAAGGACGTCACTGCCAAGAGCACACTCACCCCCGACGGACGGAGGACAGACAGACTCAGACTCAGCAACCAGGCTAGCAGCGTAGTCTAGACGACAGGTGGCAGCAAAGTCGACAAGCTCAGCAACTAAGGCAGACGCAGCAGTAGACTCAAAGGAAGGGTCAGTGAGAACAGTAGCCAGGAGACGCGTGAGAGTAGGACTAGCAGCACGAAGAGAGTCTGACCCAGGGTCAGCAAGAGCAGGAAGAGAGGAAGCAGGAGGAGACGGCAGTGGGACACGCTGTGGAGCAGTGGACGGACGAAGCGCCATCCGGTGAGTCCCTGGGACAGCAGGAAGACGCTGACGGTGGACACGACTACCAGTGAGAGCAGTACGGACAGGCGACGCAGGACGAGACTCAGGCTCACGACGCTCAGTAAGACCTCCAGTCGGACCAGTGTAAGGAGCAGGACCAGGGAGAGAGGAGGCAGACGGTAACTGCGACTGCAGCTGGACAGACGGAGGACACGCTAAGGAGGGAGGAGGACAAGGAGGAGGGAGCTGACCAAGAACCTGCTGAAGGAGCGGAACGAAGTACGGCCGTGACCATGCAGCGACACCAGAGCTAGCAGGGACACCTGTACCAGGGTCCGTAGCACCAGCAGCAGCTCCAACACCTGGGTCCGCAGCACTAGCAGAAGCGCCAACGCTCGGGTCCGTAGCACCAGCAGCAGCTCCAACGCTCGGGTCCGCAGCACCAGTAGCAGCTCCAACACCCCGGTACTCAGCACCAGCAGTAGCTCCAATGCCCGGGTCCACAGCACCAACTGCAGTTCCAACACCTGGGTCCTCAGCACCAGCAGCAGCTCCAACACCCGGGTCCGCAGCACCAGCAGCAGCTCCAACACCCGGGTCCTCAGCACCAGCAGCAGCTCCAACGTCCGGGTCCGCAGCACCAGCAGCAGCGCCCACGGCAGCGGGGTCCGCAACAGAAGGCACGCCACTCCGAAGAGTGCAGCGCCGCTCGTACCACTCACGGATCCGCTCACGGGAGGGGAGCTCCCGACTGGGAGGAGAAGCACTAGCACCAGTCCCAGCTGCACGCCCGGCTCGAGCGGCACCTCTCCTGAGGCTGCAGTAATGTAAGTACCACTCACGCTGCTGCTCCGAGGAGAGGGCTCCTCCAGGTGTAGGACTCCCAGGTCCAGTACCTCCAGACCCAGAACCTCCAGACTCCGGACTCTGCGGCTCAGCAACCCGAAGCTCAGCACCCCCAAGCTCAGCACCCCCAGGCTCCACACCCCCAAGCTCAGCACCCCCAGGCTCAGTACCCTCAAGCTCAGCACCCCAAGGCTCCACACCCCCAGGCTCCACACCCCCAGGCTCAGCACCCCCAGGCTCAGCACCCCCAGTAGGACGAGAGTCGAGAGCTACCTCAACAGGCTCAACCAGGTCTACCTGAGACACTCCTGAGGGAGCGGCACCCAGAGGGGGGGGGGGTCCTACAACAGCAGCACCTGGGGCGAGGAAGAGAGGCGGGGGGGGGAGCGGGGCAGTGCGGTAGGGGAAGAGACGGTAGTAGGGGACGGACTCGTCAAAAGTGACGTCCTGAGAGGGCAAGACTCGGCGCGAGGTGGCGTGGTAAAACTGCCAACCAGACGCGTCCGGGACAAAGCCGAGGAAGACGCAGGGAACAGCACGGGAGGAGAGCTTGTCCGCAGACGTATCGCGGACAAAAGCTCGAGATCCCCAGACCCGGAAACGCGACGCATCACCAACCTCCCCCGTCCACAGCAGCGTGGGCGAGGTCTCCGGCAAGGAGACACGGGGCCAGAGGTTGAGCTGATGCGCAGCGTACCGGACCGCAAACGGCCACATAAAGTGGGGGGCAGCCGCATGGATCAAGGAGGTACGGGCGACCTCCATGACCAGGCCAATGGGGCGCTCTGCAACCCCATTCTGCTGTGGAGAGGCCGAAAGCGTGAACGACTGCTCAATGCCGTGCTCAGCACAGTAGGCTGCCAAAAGGTCGGAGGAGAACTCACCACCTCTATCAGAGTGCAAGCGCAGGACAGGAAAGTCTGAGTGGAAACGCTCACTGAGCTGGAGACGGGCTCTGCGGATCCAAGGGATCAAGACATCAGGGACCTCACCCTTGGTGCGCAAGGGGAAGACCGTGGTGTAGCGCGAGTAGTCGTCAACAACTATCAGGAAGTACCTCTCCTGACCCTGACCACGGACGCGGGCTGGCCCCCACACGTCCATGTGGAGCGTCTGCAAGGGAGCAGTCGTCGGGGGAAACGAGGAGGAGTGAGGAGCGGCGCGCTGCCATCCCTCGACACAGGGGAGACAGGTAGGAGCAGGTGAGGGTGGGAGGGGAGGAAGGACCCTGGGCAGGCCAGAGACAAGGTACCGGGAGTGCATGGCACGAAGCCGCTGCACAGACGGGTGGCCAAGGCGGTGGGGCCAGAGGACAGTCTCTTGTGCCAGAGAGCAACACGAGCAGGGGGCCGACAGCTGACCTGACGCGGACGCAGACGCAGACGCAGCGACCTGAGGGGACTCAGTGGTCAGTGTGTACAGGTCCGACCCCGGCTGCCGAGTGAAGGTAGCCAAGTGACGGCCCGTACGAGCACATGTGCAGTGTGTCACTCGCTCGTAGGCAGGGGTGAACTGGTGAACACCCCTGTCCTGGAGCGCACATCCTGCCACCAAGTTCGTAGAGAACGAGGGGAGGTGGAGACCTGACAGTGTGCCCGACGGGACCGCAGGACAGGGAAGGACCGTGGAAGAGGTCGCAATGACCGGACCCCCAGAGGGGTCAGCAAGGGAGACAGCAACTGGCCGAGCAAGCGGTTCAAGGGCAGTGCGGTCACGAAAGAAGCAGCGAGAAGCACCTGAGACCAGTGTGAAGGTCTGTAGTGCTGCAGTCGACTCAGTACCAAGGGGGGCAGACACACAAGCACCTAGAGCAGCTGCCTCACCAGCACCTGGGGTAGCCGACACGCGAGTACCTGGAGCGGCAGACGCACTGGCCCTAATGCCCGGGTCGGGCGGCACACACAAGTACTCAGCACCCTCTCCACTAGTAGACATCACATACATAGCAGATAGAATAGCATCAAAGTCTAGTCACCACCCAGTCGTGCCACCACCCCCGCCGCTGCCGCCACCACCCCCACCGCTGCCACTAGTCCCCCCAGTCGTGCCACCACCCCCGCCGCCTCCACCGCCCCCACCGCCGCCTCCCTCGCCGTCGCCACCACCACCCTTGCCCCCTTTGCCCTTGCCGCTGCGGCGCCCGCTCGAAGCAGACGCAGTCCTGACCTTCTCAGCACCAAGAAGGTCGACAGCAGCAGCAGAGGCGACAGAGGGAAGAAGGGGGGAAGGAGAACACCCCTCAAAGAACGGGGTACGGGGGTCGCCACGAGAGGCACCTATAGCGACTATGCTAGTCTCAGCTGCAAGCAGTTCCTTCTCGAGGAGGGCAATGGTGAGTTCAGTGGGGCAGCGAGCTAGGAAGTGGTCCCTGACAGCACACAGTGTGTCAGGGAGGCGGGTGACTAGGTGGTAGAGAGTGAGCCAGAGTGGAGGGGGGTGCGTGGCAAGGAACTCAGCGGGCATGGCGACACGGAAGCGGGCCTCACTAGTACGGAGGTGCGTGATGAGGTCAGCGACTGTGTGAAAAGAGGCCAGGTCGGGAAACAGGTAGGGGAGGGAGAGACGGCCTAGTGCGGCAGAGGCAGGTGAGGAGTAGCGAGCAACTACAGCTGTGTACAGTGCCTGTGCAATCTTGTGCTGGCCAAAGTGCTCGCGTTCGTCTATCGGCAGGGAGTTGCGAATAGCAAAGCGAGCGTGGGCATCACGAGTCTGCCACTGTGAGCGAGCAGTGCTGTCAGCAGTAGCAGCAGGGGCAGTGACATGGCCTAGGGCGTGATCGTACAGTGAGATGTCATCCTTGGCTGTGAGCTGTAGGTAGAGGTGCAGGTCATCTAGCGAGGTGTCAAACTTCACTGGGCGGCCCTCAGCATCAAAAACTAGAACCTGTGGGCTAGCCATAGGAGCAGTAGAAGTAGCAGCAGTAGCAGTAGAAGAAGTAGTTACAGCGGCTCAGTTCGGGTAGGGCGGCGCGGCTCGGGTGGGGCGGCTCGGTTCAGGTCGGGTCGCGCGGCTCGTCTGGGTTCGCGCGGCTCGGCTCGGGTCGCGCGGCTCGGTTCGGTCGCGCGGCTCGGTTCGGTCCCGGGCTGTGGCGGTACCAGGCCGCTCGGGGCCTCTAGGGACGGTGGGCGCGGGGCCAACGGGGCCGTTTGGGGCCTTAAGGAGGTGAGCGCGGGCCGTTCGGGGCCTTTTAGGGGTCGACGGGGCCGCTAGGGAGGTAAGCGCGGGGCCGTTCGGGGCCGTTTAGGGGTCGACGGGGCCGCTAGGACGGTGAGCGCGGGGCCTAACGGGGCCACTAGGGGCCGACGTGGCCGTTTGGGGCCGCTAGGGAGGTAAGCGCGGGGCCGTTCGGGGCCTTTTAGGGGTCGACGGGGCCGCTAGGGAGGTAAGTGCGGGGCCGTTCGGGGCCGTTTAGGGGTCGACGGGGCCGCTAGGACGGTGAGCGCGGGGCCTAACGAGGCCACTAGGGGCCGACGGGGCCGTTTGGGGCCGCTAGGGAGGTAAGCGCGGGGCCGTTCGGGGCCTTTTAGGGGTCGATGGGGCCGCTAGGGAGGTAAGCGCTTGGGCCGTGAGGGGCCTCTAGGGGCGGGCCGTCAGTGCCTTAGGCGCCCTAGGTAGGTAGGTAGGTAGGCAGGTAGGTAGGTAGTGGTGGGCCCTTAACAGTTCGGTCCTAGGAAGGACCTGCTCTATACCATGTTGGAATCACTGAACAGGAATGAATGAACTAAGAGTGAAAACAGTACAAATACCTAACCCTAGAATTGTGTAACCCCTACAGGCTAACCCACTGTAGCCTAAACAAGCACAACAACATATATAATGTTTGACAACAGCTCTACCCTCATCATCTGCCTTAGTCCTCATGCTCTTCGTCCCTTAGCTCCTTCGGTTGCCTCAGCCACTCTCATTTATGAAAGTGACAGAACTCTCACCTCTAAGGTCCTCCCTGAGTGGTGTGCCACCTGCCTGCTCTGGTAAGGTGACAATAGTCCACTATATGAAAGGATAACAACCAGAAAGCATCAAAGGTGTGTGTGAGAGTGAACTTACCTGACCCTGGCTCGAACCGTGCATTTCTCAATGTGCGGCTCGAGCCTGGGTTGGTTCGTTCTCATTGGTTGCAAGGTTTTCACCCGAGGTGCTCTCCTACCAACTTCACGTCAATTTCCCAGCTCCCACCTACCTATCCTCGAATTTGCAAACACAACATAGCTACACCTCCACTACACCACCATGATTCTGGCACCTTATATGCACAACCGTGCATATTCGGTGACAGCTGTCGGAGATACAACTCTACCCTCATCATCTGCCTTAGTCCTCATGCTCTTCGTCCCTTAGCTCCTTCGGTTGCCTCAGCCACTCTCTGCCCCCTCCTGTGCCCGTGCTCGAGCGGCTTGAGCGCGGGTCACAGGACCAGTACGCTGAGGCCCGGTCCCTCTGATCACTGCAGTGTTCGTCTGATGTTCCCTCAGCTGCGCTCCGGTGTCGTTTTCCAAGACCAGCACCCCTGAGGGGCGTACCTCCTTGACTTTCCAGCGGATGGTCCCCAACCCCACGTCAAGGGTGTCCTGCTTAGCCCTCTTCAGATAGACTTCCTGTCCTTCGCAGACATCCTTTGCCATTCTTCCCTCCCCTTTGTGTTGCCTCTGTTCGTATCTTCTTGCGTCCCTGAGCTGCGCGGTGTGCAGATTCTCCAACGCGGCTGGCATCATGTAGCGCATGTAGCGCGCCCTCACCTCGGACAGGGCTACCCAGTTCTTCATCGTGCCCGCTGTCACTGTATCTGTCAATACTTGTGGTGCTCCCACTGGCAGAATCGGCTCTCGTCCGAACAGCAGGCTATACGGGGAGTGATCCTTCAACGCTGCCTGCTTCCCGAACCTGTACCCAGCCGCGATCCAGTCCAACTCCTCATCCCAATCCCTCTTCCTCTGCTCCCCGTAGGCCCGCAGCCCCCGCTTGAAGGTTTGCACGGCTCTCTCAGTCAGCCCATCGCTCTGCGGGTGATAGCGGGAGGTCTTTCGGTGCGTGATGCCAGTCTCCGCCAGCAGCTTCTTGAACTCCCCCTGGAACTCTGTTCCCTGGTCTGTGAGTACCTCCCCGCATGCTCCAAATCGGCACACTACTTGCGCTTTGAAGGCTGCTGCAATGTGCCTCGCGCTCTTGCTAGGGATCGCTCGCACCTCCAGCCACTTGCTCACATGCTCCACCATGAACACGATGTACTGATTCCCGCTTCGACTCAGTGGCAGCTCTCCCGCGAGGTCCAGGGACCAACGGAACCCTAGTCCGCAGATTGGCAGTGAGTGCAGCGCTGCTTTGGCCTGCGTCAGATTTGCTTTGCTCCTCTGACATGCCTCGCACCCCTCCACCCACTCTTTTACTTGCCTGCGCATCCCTTCCCACCACCAGCGCGTCTTCAGCAGGTGCACGGTCCTCTCGTGCCCGAAGTGCCCCAGCTTGGTGTGCACTTCCTTGATCACTGCTTCACGGTCCTCGGGCGCTGGCACCAGCTTCCACCCATCCTCCGTCTTAATCTGCAGCTGCTGCTGATACCACCTGTAGTGGTGCCCTCGTGCCCTTACTCTCTCAGGCACCGTTTCATCCTCCTCGGTTTCTCCCTTCACCCATTGCATTGCCTTTGCATCCAACCAGATGTCGGTTGGCCCCTTACTCCCCTTCGCCCCCGTCTGCTCCACCTCTCTTGCCAGTAAGATCAAGGTCCGTGCCGGCTCTTGCTCTGTCTCATCCGTCCCCAGGGTGGCCTGTTTCATTTCCAGCGGCGGTGGATTCCGGGAGAGGCCGTCAACGTGCTGCAGCGTCTTCCCCGGCCTGTGCCTGATCTTGAAATCATACTCCTGCACCTTCACCGCCCACCGCGCGTTCCTGCCTGTCACCCCTGGTGTAGTCATCAGCCAGGTGAGTGGCTGATGGTCAGTGACTAAGGTGAATTCTCGGCCCTGCAGGTATATCCGGAAATGCCCGACCGCCCACACTGCCGCCAGCCCTTCCCCAATGTATGAGCTATATTGTGCTTCCGCCAGTTTGCAGCTCCTGCTGGCGTAGACCACCACCTTCTCCACTCCCTCCACCTCCTGGCATAATATTGCCCCCATCCCTTGGCTGCTCCAGTGTGTGTAGAGGATGAAGGGCTGGTCCGCTGCTGGCAGCCGCAGCACTGTCGCTGTCTTCACGGCTGTCATGAGGTCTTGCAGTGCCTGTCTCTGCTCCTCTCCCCACTCCCATGCCTTGTCCTCCCGCAGCATCCCATTTAGTACTGTCGCTCGTTTGCTGAAGTTCGGCACGAAGCGCCTGTAGTAGCTGAGGAAGCCCAAGACCGCACGCAGCCCTGACTTGTCTCTTGGTTCCCTCAGCCTGTCCAGCACTTGCACCTTCGCTTGCTGGATACCAATCTGCCCCCCTGTGACCTCATACCCAAGATACTGCACTGTCCGCTCCCCCCACCTGCACTTGTTGGGATGGCAGGTGAGCCCTGCCCCTTCTATGGCGGTCAAGTTCCTCTCCACGTCCTCCAGGTGCTGCTGTTCGGTCAAGCTGAAGATCACGACATCATCAATATAGCACGCCGCGTGTTCTATTCCCCGTAGCACCGCGTCCATGACTATCTGAAACACCGTCGAGGCGTTCCTCAGACCGAAGGGCATGTAAAGCCACTCGTACAGCCCATCCGGTCCGTGGAAAGCCGTTTTCTTCACATCCTCCTCTCTGATCTTGATTTGATTGAACCCCTGTCGCAGGTCCAGCGTCGTGAAGAACACCCCGTCAGCCAGCTTGTCAAAGAGCTCTTCCGCTATCGGCATTGGGTATCTATCTGGCACTGTAATTTTGTTGAGATCCCTGTAGTCCCCGCACATCCTCCTACTCAACACCTCGCCTGTCAAGTCCTTCCTGGCTGCCACCACGGTTGGGGTAGCGTATTCTGACTCTGACCTCCTGATCAGTCCGGCTTCCAGTAACTCCTTTATCTTCTCCCTGCAGATCACTTCATCCCCTGGTGGTATCTTCTTCCTGCGGTGGAACACCGGCTCGTCACTACTCAATTTCAGCGCCATCTCTTTGATCTTGCACTTCCCCAACTCCAGCAGTGTGAAGGCGAAGCCCTTCCGATGCCTTGCCAGCAGTGCCCGCATCGCTGCCTTCCCTTCTTCGCTCATGCTCTCACCTATCTTCCACTCTGGCTCCTGTTTCCGTAGGCAGGCCCACACCCCATGCCTCACCGTTGCCACTGTGTTTTCTCCCTCCTTCAGTCCCCAGTGCAGCACTGTCTCCTTCCACATCCGCTGCACCAACCACCTCATCATGTACCCATCCATGGCATTCCCCAATGCCCGTCTCCGTTCCTTCTCGCTCACGCCTGAGGCTGCTGTCGCGTTCTCCTTGTACCCCATGGCCAGCTCCCTCTCCAAGGCCGTGGGCTCTTCCCACTGTCCCTTCCTGCGGTCATGCACCAATCCTGGGCCGGGCTGCTTCCCATCCATCTGATAGCCTGCTGCCCCCTCATATGACACCAGGGTAGGCAGTGCCTGCCTTTCCTGTCCCACCTGGTTGCAGGGATAATGCCTGCTGTAGCCCTTCTTGGTCACTGGTGCTGGCGTTCTTCCTGGCTCCAATATGTCGCTCAGCTTCCGTCCCCCAGCTCTCTGCACCCCTTCTATTTCCTTCTGCAGGTCTTCTACTGGTACCACATTCTGCCAGTACATCCTGAGCCTGTGCGCATATGCTCCCATCCGCGCCGCATCACTGCTCACTCCTTTCCCCACCTGTCTGGTCACTCTCTCCCTCACTAGTCTTATCGGTTCTCTCACGTCTCCCTCCATATCCAAGTGCTCCAGCAGGTAAGCCACTCTGCCTTGCCTAGCCTGCATCCACTCCATGACTCTGAACAGATCCTCCATCAGCTGTGTTCGTAGGTCTTGCTCACCCTTGCCCTTCCCTGCCCATGATACCCCTTGGCATTCCCACCCTGCCACCAACAGGTCCACGTGCCCCCAGCTTGCTACCTCAGCTTCCATAATGGCCCTTACATCGTTCATTCCTCTGCTCATTGCTGCCTTGATCACCTCTCCCTGCAGCAGCTCCGGGAACTCTCTGTGCAACTCCCACGCCTGATGCTCCGCTATTTTCCTCACTTCTGGTGCTTTCTCCACGTAAATCCACTGCTTCACTGCAATTCCATTTCGCACCACTGCTGCCAGTCCCGCCCCGATTCCTCCGAACAGCTCCACCTGCCGAATGGGTTGCTGCCAATCGGTCTGCTGGCTAGGTTCGTCCATGAAACGCATCCTGGGCTCCCCACCTTCTCCCTTGCCTGTTGCGGCCTTCTGTGCCCCCTGCTTCGCTGCCACCTCCTTCAGATCTGCCCTGTAGGCCCTTTTTGGCTCGGTCCTGACAAACTGCACCGGCAGCTGCCCCAGTGGCTCACCCTTCCTCCACCACCTAGTTCTGAACTCCACAGTCTCCTTCCAGAAGCAGATGGTCATGCCCAATGCAAAGATCATCTCAGTGCCCACCAGGACGTCAAAATCTTCTGACTCTGAGATCCCGCACCTGATTCTAACCGGCGTCTCATGCTTCTCCCCCTTCAGCACCGTCAGTTCTATTGGAGTCCTCGTACAAGGCATCCACTTTGACTCTCCCCCCTCTGCTGTCATCACTAGCATCCCCTTCACCACATGCCTGTCAGGTGCCCACAGTCCCAGCTTCTCGGCCATCCCCTTTCCGAGTATCACGCTCTGCGCTCCAGTGTCTATAATAGCCGTCTTAGCCTTCTCCCCTTCCACTGACAGCGCACCACCTTGGATCAGCAGCACGGAAGTCTGACAAGCCAATCTCTCCTGGGGGTGCCATGCTGCTGTGCATCTCTCCTCCTTCTCCTTCGGCTTCTGTCCTCTCTCCCGCTCCTTTCTCCGCTGCTCCTTCCGTGCATCCTTTCCTCCGCTGCGCAACCCCATTTCCTCACTTCCTCGCCATGCCATGTATGCTGGTTGCTCCTCATGCTCCATCTCATTCTCTCCTCTTCCCGCCCAGACCATGAACGCGGCTTCCTCATCCTGCTCCACATCTTCTTCCTCCTCTTCCTTGGCGTACATCCGCGCCTCAGCTTCCCGTCGTGGTCCCATTGCCTGCAGCTGGGCCTGCAGCCTGCTGATTTGCTTCTCCATATCTTCTGGTGACTTCTTCGCTGCCCCCTCTCGCTGATAACACTCCTTTGCTGCATGCCCTCCTTCCCACAGACTTCACACTTCGGTGCCGTTGGACATTCCCGCCGTCGATGCCCTGGCTTGCCACAGGAGTCACAGTTCTTACAGTCTCGGCGCAAGTGTCCTGGCTGCCCGCATCTGTGGCATGTTCGTGTGTCAGGCCTGGTCTCCCCTCTTCCCGCTGCCCTGTCCTTCTCCTCCGGTATCATGGCCGCAGCCCATGTAGGCCCCCTGCCGCGCTCCGCCTGTCTGGGCCTGTATGCTTCATATTTCCTCTGCGCCAGCTCCATCTTCTCTGCCAGTTCAAACACCTCTTCAAGCGTTGTGTCGGCCCCCATCTCATACACCTTCATCCGCAGTCCGCTTCCCAAAGTGCCCTCCAGCCCGTCCAGGAATTTACTCACGAGCAGGGCCATGTCTGCGCAAGTCACATCCTCTGCCAGGTTGACCAGCCGGTTATAGTGGGTGAGTAGTGACTCGCCCCGCCCCTTCCTGAAATCTTGGAATTCCCTGACCTTCTCTGCGGTGTGACCTAGAAACTGCCGTTTCAGCCGCCTCAGGAATGCTTCAGTAGGGTCTTCCCCGTACCTTCCTGCCCTTTCCAGTAGCTCATCCATCTTCATCCTGTACAATGTCTCCGCCTCCCCTTCCAATGTGTTTGGCAGACTCAGGAAAAAGTCCACCGAGTCCATGCCGCTCCTTTCGCATCTGTACCGCGCGTTGCCCACCTGCATCAGGTAGTTCTTCAGCGTGGGGCCCGTGCGCTGATCTCCTGAGAAGCGTGCTGGCACTTCCACTCTCGTGGCCATCACCGTGCTTCCCTTGCCTTCTCCCCACGCCTCGCTCGGCCCTCCTGCTGATCTCCCTGACGCTCCTCTCTCTCTCGCCCGCAGTATCCCTTCCCTCGCCTCTCTAGCCCGTTCTAGGCTGTGCATCAGCCCGCTGCCTTCCTCTCTGCTGTTGCGTTGATCCCGTCCTCCCTCACTGGTACGTCTTCCGTCATGCTGCCAGTACCGATCGGGTGAGTGATACCCTCCGCCGCGCCCCTCATCTCTGCTCTGTTGCCGAAGCTGCGAGCCGTATCCGCCTCCCCGGCTTTCTTCATGTTGCCTGTGCCAGTCGGGCGAGCGCGTCTTGCTTCCCCACCTCTCTCCATGATACCGTTGCAGATCAGGCGAGCGGTAGTCGCCTCCGCGTCTCTCATCACGAGGGTAACGAGGACCTGGAGAGCGCAGCTCCCCCCCGCTTCTCCAGTTGTGATACCTCCGCGGATCTGGTGAGCGCACGCTTCCCCCGCGTCCACTGTCCTGGTGTCGCCGTAGCTCTGGCGAGCGGTAGCCGCCTCTGCGCCTTTCTTCCTGCAGCTGCTGCCGTCCTGGCGAGCGGTAGCCGCTTCCGTGCCTCCCATCCTCGTGCGGGAGACGCGGGTCTGGCGAGCGCGCGCCGCCACTGCGTTCCCCGTCACGATTCTGCCGCCGATCTGGCGAGCGCGTACCGCCGCCACGCCCCCCTTCCCGATACATCCGTGGATCTGGCGAGCGCGTGCCTCCGTCGCGTCCCCCATCACGATTCAGCCGAGGCTCTGGCGAGCGCGCACCGCCGCCGCGTCCTCCGTCCCGATTCAGGCGCGGATCAGGCGAACGCGCGCCGTCGCCACGTCCCTCGTCACGCTGCTGACGCGGATCTGGAGAGCGCGCGCCGCCGCCACGCCCCCCTTCCCGATACATCCGTGGATCTGGCGAGCGCGGGCCTCCGTCGCGTCCCCCATCACGATTCAGCCGAGGCTCTGGCGAGCGCGCACCGCCGCCGCGTCCTCCGTCCCGATTCAGGCGCGGATCAGGCGAACGCGCGCCGTCGCCACGTCCCTCGTCACGCTGCTGACGGGGATCTGGAGAGCACGCGCCACTGCCACGCCCCCCGCCGTCACCATTCTCTCCGTCGCGCGGCAGGTCTCGGGTAGTACCGCCCTTTTCTTCCGCCTCCGCCGTGCTCGGCTCCGCCGCCACGCTCGCCTGCGCGGGATCGTCGTCATCAACTCCAGCGGGCATCTCACGCTGCTCGCCTGCGCCTTCCTCCTGGGGTTCGTCATCGCCCTTGGTCTCGCCTTCACGATTCGTCTCCCGCACTCGATTCGCCGAGTCGGCCTCGTCTTCTCCATCCACATCAAGATCGCCTTGGCGACCCGAGAAGAGCCCCTCCAGACCTCGCCCGCGACTTCTCTCTTCGCGACGGCGATAGCCTTCCTCCGGCGAGCGGTATGCTCCCGTGTCCTGGCGGTACCCACGACCGCCATCCGCTCCGTGACGCCCGTCCGTCCGCCACGGGTCACTCCCCGTCGTGACGGATCCAAATCCGCCTCTTCCTTCTCGGGCGGAACCTCCCTCCTGGCGATCTGGCGCGAGAGGAACCTGATCCGCGCGAAAGGCCGGCCTCCGCGGCGATCGCTCAGGCCGCCGCGGCGACCTCTCCAGCGAGCGCCCGCGCTCACGTGAGCGTTCGCGCCGTGAGCGATCCGCCTCACGGCGACCATAATTCCTGCCGTAACGCATCTCGTACACATCCATGCTTGTACGCGCACCTTTCTGGTTGTTATGAAAGTGACAGAACTCTCACCTCTAAGGTCCTCCCTGAGTGGTGTGCCACCTGCCTGCTCTGGTAAGGTGACAATAGTCCACTATACGAAAGGATAACAACCAGAAAGCATCAGAGGTGTGTGTGAGAGTGAACTTACCTGACCCTGGCTCAAACCGTGCATTTCTCAATGTGCGGCTCGAGCCTGGGTTGGTTCGTTCTCATTGGTTGCAAGGTTTTCACCCGAGGTGCTCTCCTACCAACTTCGCGTCAATTTCCCAGCTCCCACCTACCTATCCTCGAATTTGCAAACACAACATAGCTACACCTCCACTACACCACCATGATTCTGGCACCTTATATGCACAACCGTGCATATTCGGTGACACCTTCCCATCGAGCGACCCATAGGTCACCTTGCCCCTGGTTACACGCCGCCTCTGCTGGTATGCTCCTCACATCCGCCTCGGGTCCTCTCATGGCTTCGTTTCCCATTTCTTCCCCCTTCAGCTCTGGATGTTCTTTCCACAGCTTCCTCACTTGCTGCCCCGCCATCCCACTTTCCTGCGCTTGCTTGTCTGCCTTTAGTACACGTGCCCGTGCCCCCACCTTCTCGTCTTTTCCTCCTGCTTCTGCGGCTGCTGGTGCGCACGCCCTTGCCCCCTTTTTCTTGGCTTTCCCTTCTGCTACCGCTGCTGCCACTACACACGCCTGTGCCCCCACCTTCTCTTCTTTCCCTTCCTCTTCTGCTGCTGCTGCTACACACGCCTGTGCCCCCACCTTCTCTTCTTTCCCTTCCTCTTCCGCTGTTGCTGCTACACACGCCTGTGCCCCCACCTTCTCTTCTTTCCCTTCCTCTTCCGCTGCTGCCACCACACATGCCCGTGCCTCCACCCCGTCATCCACCACTTTCGCTTCCGCTGCTGCTGGTACACATGCTCTTGCCCCCACCTGCTCATCCTTTTCCTCTGCTTCCGCTGGTGCTGGTACACACGCTCCTGCCCCCACTTTCTCATCCTTCTCCTCTTCTTCCGCTGCTGCTGGCGTTACTAACATGCACGCCCATGCCCCCACCTTACTCACTTGCTTCCTTCGCACGTTCCTGCCCCCACTGTGCAGCCGCATGTCCGCATGGCCACGCAGCGCCGCACAGGAGCGTTCCGGCTCCTGCTCCTCTTCCTCCTCCTCATACAACCCCGCTTGCCCCTGACTTCTTTCTCCCAGCGCCTGCAGTTGGGCTCGTAACTGTTTGATCTGTTCCTCAATCTCCTCGGGTGATCTCCCTGCCTCCCTTACTTTCTCATAGCAGTTCCTTGCCTGATGCCCCTTTTTCCCACCTTTCTCACAGCTCGGTACATCTGGGCAGTCCCTTCGGCGGTGCCCAGGCTTTCTGCACACATCACAGTTCTTGCACTCCCTCCTGATATGCCCTTCCTGCCCGCACCTGTGGCACGTCCGTGTTTCTGCTTGCCACTCCTGCCACTGTTCCTCCTCACCCTCGTCCTCGGTTATCATCGCTGCAGCCCACCTGGGCCGCCCTTCCTCTGACACCCTTGGCAGGTACGCCTCGTACCGCCTCTGCGCCAGCTCCACTCTCTCTGCCAATTCAAACACCTCCTCTAGCGTTGCTTCCGCTCCCAACTCATACACTCTCATTCTCAGTCCCCCACTCAGTCCTTCATCTAACCCCCCCAGAAACTTGCTCATTAACATGCTGCTGTCCGTGCAGGCCACATCCTCTGCTAGATTGGCGAGCCTCCCAAAGTATGTGAGTAACGACTCCACCTTACCCCGCCTAAACTCCTGAAACTCTCGGATACACTCGGCCGTGTGGCCCGGGAACTGTTTTCTCAATCGCTCAAGGAACAGCGTCGTGGGATCATCTCCATCTTCCTCTGCCCGTCTCAGCCACTCCGGCATCTTCATTCGGTACAGCGTTTCAGCTTCGCCCCCCAACGTATTTGGCAGGCTTAAGAAAAACTCTATCGGGTCCATCCCGCTTCTATCGCAGCGGTACTTCACAATTGCGATCTGCATCAGGTAATTCTTTTGGTTGGTTCTGGAAACTGCTCCCCCCGTAAAGCGCACTGGCACCTCCACCTGAGGTGGGGCCTGCACATTCCACCTCCCCGTCTCCCAAGACCCTGAGATCTCATTCCTTCTGCTACTCTCTTCTCTCCTCTCCCTCGACTCCCTGCTCTTCGACGCTGTCCCATACAGTACTTGATAGATTCCTTCTCTGGCTGCCCTTGCTCCCCCAGCGCCTACCCATGACTGCTGCTGCCTTCTCTGCCATGTCGGACTTGGCTCCTTCCCCCTTCTCTCTCTTGAGCTTCCCCATATCTCTTCGATCCCCACCCTGATCTCTCCCTCTTTTCGGGGTAATATTCTTCCCAGCGCCCCTCCCTACGGCCCGACCCGTGGCGTGCAGGTCAGTCACGCTCTCCTTCCTCGTTCTCTGAGTCATTCGCAGGCATCATCTCCCGTCGCCTACTCTGCTTCTCTCCTCTCCTTTTTTGCACCTTGTCGTCTTGCTTCTCCCTCACCTCCACATTATACTCCCTACGCCCCTCTTGCCTTCCCGTATACTCCTCCTTTCCTCCACAGGATGGTTCCTTCTCGCGCCGCTCCTGCTTCCTGCATCGGCGCCGCTCCAGATTATACCCATCGTCCTCCTCTTTGCTATACTCATGTTCCTTCTCTTCACGCAGCTCCTCACCACTCCTTCTCGTCTTCTCTCTCCCCTCCTTCCTCTCAAGGGACTCTCCTTCATCGCGTCTCCCTCGTCCGCCTGCTCCTCGGCGCCCATGATCCTCTCTTCTTCTTCCTTTGTCACTTCCCGGGTCCTTCCCAGGGGACATCTCTCGCCGGCAGCGCTCTTCCTCATTCTTTCTCTTGTTTATCTTTCTCTCCTGCCTCCCCCTTGCCTCTCCGACAGGTTCCTGCACCAACCCTGCTCCCGCGCACGGATACTCTTCTATTTCTTCACGGCACGCTCTCGCACCTGCACCCGTGGCGTACTGCAACGAACACTCACTGCCCTTGACACGTGCTTCCCTCTCCTCCGTCCGCTGTCGTGCAGGCGAGCGCTGCGCGCGCCTCCTATCGCGGTCGTCCTCACTTTCCTCTCCCCCCTGCTCTGGTGATCGCCATCCGCCCAACGCCATGCGCCTCCTGCGCTCATGTCCGCGTCTCGGCTCAGGCGAGCCATACACTCCCGCCTGCACATCTCGCCTCCTTTCTTCCTCACGGCTGGCTTCTGGCGCGCGCTTAGCCTCCTTGCCTTCGCCGTGCCTTGCATTACTTCTGCGCAGCCTGGCTGGCGAGCGATCTGCATCTGCACCCCCGCGGCGCCTCGCATCATTCTCAGGCATTTCGCCCGCCGAACCGCCCGCATCCGCGCTCCCCTGGCGCCTCGCGCCATTCCCGCTCATTTCGCCTGTCAAACCTGCTGCAACCGCGCTTTCGTGGCGCCTCGCGTCATTCTCAGGCATTTCGCTCGCCGAACCGTCAGCATCCGCGCTTCCACGGTGCCTCGCATCATTCCCACGTATTTCACCCGTCGAACCAACTGCATCCGTGCTCTCGCGGCACCTCGAGCCATTCCCGCGCATTTCGCCAGCAGAACGATCCGTATCCGCGCTCCCGCGGCGACCTGCGCTACTCCCACGCACTTCGTCTGTCGAACGGCTTGATCCCGTCGCCCTTCCGCGCTCTTCGCGTTTCTCTCCACGGCGCCTCTCGCCTCCCTCGTGCATGTCGTCCGGCGAGCGATCTGCTCCCGCGTCCTTTGGATCATCCCCCGTCGTCTCCTCGCCGTCGGCCTCGTTTGCCAACATCAGCCATCCCGTTTCGTCGGCATCTTCATGATGCCCTTCACCCGCGCCCCGCTGGCCTCTTGCCAGACCCCAGTGACCGCTTCTTGACGGCTGAGGCCTCGTCGCCAATCTTATGTGCAGATCGGTCTTGCCTCCATCGCGCCGTCCGTCACCTGCTGCGATCCGATCTGCCCGATCCGCCTCTCTCTTAGGCGAGCGATCTGGCGATCGTTCCCGCTCCTGTGAGCGCATCCGTCGCGACGGCAGAATTTCCCGACGCGAATACGTTCGCTGCCAGCGCAGCTCGTGGGCAGTCCATACTACCAATTCTTTCTCTCGTTTGTGAGAGATTCTGGCTCCCACACGATGGCTGCCCTCAGTGGCCTAGTCACCTAGCTGCTGTAGCGTTAGAACGGCAACGTAAATCCACTATTTTAGGCAAACAAACGAGAGAACGAACTAAGCAGTGAGTTCCTAGTCTATTTGAATCTCTACCCCGTGCCGCGCAGTTTCCCGTAACTCACATTGGGCTCCGCCCGCTAGGCTTTAGGATTGGCCTTTCAGATTGCCCAGGGCTTGCCCTTGAATTTGTCCCACCCTGCGCCTCGCAAGTCCCTGAATCATCACTTTGCGTCAATCCCCACGCCCCAAACTCACTTTCTACAGTACTTCGAATAACCCAACTACACCTACACTAGCAAGTCACTGAATCTATTGCAAACAACAATACATTCTGTGACAAGATACTCGGTGAGGACAGGGTGGTTTTCGATTCTGTCCAGGGGAACCCAGTTGTCTTCGGTGGATGTACGGTCTTTCCAGCGGATCAGGAACTCGATCCTTCGGTCTCCGCGAGGGTCATGAACTCGGTGGCTCAGGATTTTCTCGGGGGTGATGATTGGTTCAATAGGCGGTCGTGTCATGCTGGCTGGGCGATTGCGTGGCAGTTGGCTCGTGGACGGGACGTAAGGGCGAAGCAGGCTGACGTGGAATGAGGGGTTGACGTACCAGTCAACAGGGAGGAGGAGGTGGGGCGGTGACGGGCGTAATCATGTAGCTTATGCGAAATGGCCCGCAATATCGGGGGCGGAGTTTTGGGGTGATGGGCAGTCAGAGGTTCTGAGTGTCAAGTAAAACTAGGTCGTCGGGCTGGTAAGTGA